ATGAGATATGACCACAGTCATTAAGGCGGTAGTTCAATTGTAATGTAGCCTGTCGCAGGGTAACATGCAATCAATGTTGCAGGTAGTTAATTGATTATTCAATTGAACTTTATAGTTAACTGATAACTTAATAATTCAGTTATAAATTAATAATTAAAGAACTGATAACTAATAATTCAGTTAAAAGTAACTCAATTATTAACTTATAACTGATTGAAGTAGTTATTATTTACCAGATAAATAACAGGTAAATGGTTGATTCACTTGTAAGTTACTATCAATAAATTAACAAATGAATGATCAAGTTATCAATTACTAAACTGGTAACTGGTAACTGAATCAATCAGTTATTAATTATCAGTTACTGAGTTAATTATCATAAAAATCCGAATAAAATTTTTATAAAATGGAACCCACATATAACAGTAATGATAAAGTATAAATAAATCGAAAGTTAATTAAAGATGACATGAAAATGTCTTTTATATTTATATAATTTATTTATTTTCATTAATATCTAAGTATTAAACATCTAAGTATTAAATTATTATAATAATAGAAAATATAAAAATAAAATGATATATATTTTTTTTTTTACAAAAAAAGTTTTGTGCTATTGGCTTTACAGAGGATTCGCTTCTCAAACATTGTTTGTGACAATCGATTTCATTTTGGGAGGTCCAATAATGTAGCATGCAAAAACAGTCTTTCCACAGGCGCTGAAGATGGTAGTAATGTGTTGTGCTGTATGAATAGCATTTGCACCCGTGGAAAGTTCTGTAAAAGCTCTGAATGATTTGACTTTTGATTCAAATATAATAATAAGTCGTCAGTTTCACCAATTTCAGGTACTAACGGAGCTTGATTTGCGTCATAATTTTCCCCAGCGGAAATTTTTTTTCAAATAAAGTGCATAATAATGTTGTGAACTGTAATAAAAAGTAAAAAAGTGTAAAAAAATGTAAGATTACTAACGCTTTCGGACATGTGATACGTTTTCCTACATTTTTCTACTTCTTATTAAAGTTTGTTACATTTGTTTACCGATCATTAAAGAAATGAAAACCCCTATGAATTCAAGCTCATGAAAGGTACATGGAGAAAGTAAAAAAGTGTAACAAAACATAAAATTTTATAATAATAATCTTAAGTGTTACAATTTTTACTTATGAATTTGAGATCATGGTCAAGCCCGCACGCAATCGCATTGATCACAGCGAGTGATTTTCGTGAAAAAAGTCAATTCGCTCTAATGAAGCAGAAAGCATTATAAAATCATCATAGATGTACTAAGGAGTACTGAGATGACTGATCAATTTGGTTTATATACATATTTTTTATAATTTGTCTTAATTTATTAATAAAAATCAATACATTTTTTTCACGAAAATCACTTGCTGCGGTCGATGCGATAACACGCGGATAGCATATTGAAGAAAATGTAAAAAAGTGTGAAAAAGTATAAAAAAATGTGATTTTATGCTGCATTTTATAATGCATTGGCTGTCCAAAATCGTTAGTAATTTTACATTTTTTTACGTTTTATTACATTTTACAATTTAATATAATAGTTTTAACTTCTACTTTTACTCTTTCTTGAACAATTTTTTTTCAGTCAGGGTTGATTTAGGAATTGTAATATGGATCTTCTGCTTCTTCGGGTACTTCTACGTCCATCTGTTCCTGTGACATGAGACTTGTCACAAGGATATAAAATTTTTTTTTAGCTTATACAAATCCAAAATATTAGTTATTCTCTGCTTGTAACTTGTTAATTGCCTTGGCAAGTGCAGTAGACCATTTCATATATTCCTTTATATAATCAGAATTACTTTGGTTTAAAACGAATTAGCTTCAAATGACTATCTAGATCATAATGTAGAATGTAATACAGAATTATAATGTAGAAGGAAGTGGTCCTTCAATTTACAAATTTGTGCAAAAGTATCATATACAGTTTTTCAGCGGGTTATAACAGGTATTTTTAGACAGCACTCTACATATTTTTCTAAAGATTCCCTTTTTCTCTGAAAAAAAAACCCGCGTAACCCAACTGATCGAAGGGAGACTTAGAGTCACCTACCCAAAGAATAAAAGGTTTCAAAAAAATTTGCTTAAATTTAGCTTATATCAACGGTTTTATAAAATTTAAGGTAATTATTCAGATGGATTATAACTGGTATTCTCTACTGAAAAGAATTTTTGCAGAATTTATACTTTCAACTTTCATTAATAAAATAACATATAAGGGAAAAGATGCACAAGTAAATGATGAATTTTTACCCGTAAGTAAAACTACTATAATTAATGATAATATATTCGGAAAGTTGTGGAAAACTATTAAAATATTAAGTATTAATGCTTAATTATATTATACCATTTCCGAAGAATTAGTTCAGTATAATTCAATGATATTAATTTATAAATGAAGTTTCAGTCCCTGGTTAGTTTTCGGCTACTAGGAGAAAGAAGCATTTTTGGCCGAGTAACCCAAGTAACCCAACTGAACAAGGGGAGCCTTATTTGCGAGTAACCCGAGTAACCCGAGTAACCCAAGTAACCCAACTAATCGAGGGGAGTATTTTTTGCCGAGTAACCCAAGTAACCCAAGTAACCCAACTAGTGGAGGGGAGCATTTTTGGCCGAGTAGCACAAGTAACCCAAGTAGCCCAAGTAACCCAAGTAACCCCAAGTAACCCAAGTAACCCGAGTAACCCAACTAATCAAGGGCAGCATTTTTGGCCGAGTAACCTAAGTGACCCAAGTGACCCAAGTGACCCAAGTGACCCAAATAACCCAAGTAACCCAACTGATCAAGGGGAGCCTTATTTGCGAGTAACCCGAGTAACCCGAGTAACCCAAGTAACCCGAGTAACCCAACTAATCGAGGGGAGTATTTTTTGCCGAGTAACCCAAGTAACCCAAGTAACCCAACTGATCAAGGGGAGCCTTATTTGCGAGTAACCCGAGTAACCCGAGTAACCCAAGTAACCCAAGTAATTCAAGTAGCCCAAGTAACCCAAGTGACCCAGGTGACCCAGGTGACCCAAGTGACCCAAGTGACCCAAATAACCCAAGTAACCCAAGTAACCCAACTAGTGGAGGGGAGAATTTTTGTCCAAGTAGCCCGAGTAACCCAAGTAACCCAAGTAACCCAAGTAACCCAACTAGTGAAGGGGAGTATTTTTGGTCGAGTAACCCAAGTAACCCAACTGGTCGAGGGGAGCATTTTTGGCCGAGTAACCCAAGTAACCTAAATGACCCAAGTGACCCAAGTAACCCAAGTAACCTAACTAATCGAGAAGCCATGTTCACATTTCACCAAAAGCTCGTCATTTATTCAGAGTAAGCATAAGTTGTAGTATCTACAGCATTTCTTATACTATAATTAATTTTGTACGTACGCTGTGTATTTGAAACAAGTTATCTTTATAATGCGGTACGTTACACGTGTGCCAACTTTGACCCTTGTCTTGTGGGGTGGCGCATCTCGATGAACGAATTTTATAAAAAATAATTTAAGAATCGAGCTGATTTTGATTTGATCAAGACGAATTTGACCAGGAGAGTCATTAGTATGTATCAAGCAATAGAGGATCAGATCGCCATTTTGCTGAAGATAATTGATTGTGAAAAAAAATGGTTAGAAGTCATCTTTGAAGGTTTTTCACCACATATTACACCAATTCTTTTGAATCACATTATAGTTAAATTATATTATTTATATTATCATTCATTTTTTTCCATTAATTATTTCTCTTTACCGATTTTTCAGATTAAATTTAAAATAAATAATATTCACCCCTCTTATCATTGGACAAAATTACACATTCTTCGAATAAACGATCAAAGATTCTCTACTCAAGTATATTTTGTCATCTAAAAAATTCGCTCGAAAGGATATATATTGATAATTAATTAGCATATGCTTACCTACATGGGTACGCTATAAACGAAATAAAAATAGTTAGTTAAAATGTTGTAATTCATGAAAATAATTTCCCAGATTGTCAAAAAGTTTTTTTTTCCTTCACAGCCAAGTTTTGCGTCATATTTTTATATAAGGCTGCAAGCACTATAGCAGCTTATCGAGCGAATGATAATTTTTCAAAAATAAACTAGCTTCAATAGAAAAAAATGGGTGTAATTTCTTTGTTGTAGCATTTAAAGCAAAAAAAAACAAAGAGAATGCGGTGGGTATACGCAACAGACGCTACCACACATATTTACGCATACACGAATAAGCATTACTTGATCGATTGTCTATGTTTTTATAGACAATATTATCGGAGAAGTATATATTTTTAAAATTGACCTTCGCAAAAATTGCATATGATATTGACAGATAATCGTCACGTATCGCTTTTACTTTCGAGGTACGAGAATCCAAATGACAATAATATCGCATCCAACGAGATTCAATCTTTCAACTGCAGCATATACGTGCGACTTTATTATTTTAGAATAGAAAAAAAGAGCCGCTGAAAATCGTATATTTAATTGGTATTTTTGATAGTCTGGGGTCATTATAGCCTGATCGATCTCCAAAAAAATAAATACAAAAGCAGCTCAATTAGTTTTTCCGTTAATAAATCAGACTCGCAGATCTTTTTCGAAAGCTCCCTTATTGTAAAGTGTAAATACGTGGGTGCGTTGCAGACGCGACAATTCTCGTGTATATATCCACTACATAAACTCGTTAATGATTTATAAAAGCGGAAATAGCGAAAGAGGCTCATAACGTAGGCGATATCCAGTATAATATCTATAATAGTATTCTATGAGCGCGCCAAGTCTATCGTCGTGGAGGGAGAGAGTAAAAAAAAATATTCCAAGAGAAAAAAGGAGTGAAAAAGCGGCAACTTCGCGCAGCTTATTATAAACACGCGATATACAATATCCATAATTCTATATATACACGCGCGAGCTTTGTGATATATGTATACTTATAACACTTACTCTGGGGGATCGCGTCGGCGAGAGTCGCGTGTATGGCATCGGCACGCACACACTTTGACTTTTCGAGAGGCAGTTCTTGCGTATTATCGTTGTTGGGCAGTGTATGAGCTGCTGCAAGCCTGAAACGAAGTGCGCTCGTGCCGTAGGGGCGCTGCTGCTGCCTCTTTTGCGCGATCTCCAACTTCGCTAGTTTAGCCTTAGATGTATACCTCTTCGCGGGGAGCACACGCAGTTTATATAGTTTCGCGGTCAGCTGCCTGCAATATTACATGCAGGAATAGTGACTTCGGCTTGTGATGCGAGTGAGGAGCCGACAAACAGTCTGGCCTTTAGTAATTGACATTTAAGTATTTGAAAAGTTGTCGTGCTGTGCGTGCGTGTGCGTCGCCGCGGAAAGACTGTCCATGAAACAACAAACAAATCCAAAGTGTTTCACGATGCTGTGAGAAACAGCATCGTCTTCGTACATGTTCGTTGTACCGAGAGCATATAAAATTTTTATTTTTTGTGCACAAGCGTTGTTATATTAGCAATTGCATTGGGATGGAGCAGCAGCGGTCGTTTCGCGACGACGAAACCGCCGCCGAGGAGTCTTCGGCCTGCGACAACGAGGAGGCCTGCGTCGAGAGCAATGCACTCAGGATACTGGGGCAAATCGATTGTCTCTACAGAAGCCGGGTGGGCGAACTTGAGGCCAGGCCCGATCTTGACGATCCTCAAAGAGTCAAGGTATACCTCATGTTTGTTGTTGTTGTTGTTGTTGTTGTTGTTGTTGTTGTTGTTGTTGTTGTTATTGCTGGTGTTGTTGTTGTTATAGCTCGTCGTCTGCAAGGTTTATAACACGGTTGGCGGCTAGCACGCTATTTTTCAATACTTTTCAATCAAAATCTGATTTTAGTATTTTTGTTTGATTTATTGATGCATTGGGACGCCAATTATTACGCCTTAACGCATTATTTTTATTTATTTTGTCAAAAAAAAACTTATTTTTGAACTTAGAGTGTAACTTATTTTTTCCACAACTCATTTCTGTACTCTTTGTTGGTTCTCGATTATCGACAAAACTCGAGACGTCCAATTTTACTTTCAAATCACTCCGTACCTGATAAGCCGAATTACTCTATTGTAGTATTGTGCGAATGTTCGTCGACCGAGTGTCATTCATTATATGCCCCTATAATTCTCTCCAAATGTGGATTTTAAAATTAGACGGTGGAACCGTGTTACCCTCATTGCAGCTAAAAATAAACATCAAACGCAGAATGAACATCCCGGACAACAACAACATATTTTATGGACATTTTTTCGTCGCAAATTGCCAACATCGTGTTGAGCGATTTTAATTGCTATATCGTTTGGACAGAAAAAAATTAATTGCAGCCCTCTAGCAATTTTTTTGACATGAATTGCATTAGCATCAATTATAACTTTTAAAGTTATACTCACATACATTTGAAAATTGTTGTCAATTGTCTAAACTGAAGTAAATTATGATAAAACTAAAATGCTAAAATGAATAATTTAAGAAGAAACTTAAAATCATTATTAAAAATCTTGAGTAAATAACTTGAATAATATCACAAATGCATCTTTATAATGAATTCCCATACTTGTTTGCCTATGTGAGACAATTTCTATGGCTACCATAAAACTTGGAATATTGCAGCGGACTGCATTTTCTAATTATAGATTACTGAAAGACCTAAATAGATGCGCTGGAAAGCCTTTCAGCCCAATTTGCCAACTATTACATGAAAACATTTCACTAACATGTATTACTGACTTTATTTTACAGTTGAAATTGAAAATCATGACTGACTGGGTCAAGGATTTAGGAGAACAAAACGCCATGCTTGTTCAGACTGTTCATGAACTCGAACAAGCTGCTATCTGTCGAGTAAAATCATTGGAAGACCAACTACAATCTACTACAAGTTTGATATCAAACAATATAACAAATTCAAGTAAATCTGAGAAGGTAACATCTTAAAAATTCAGATAATATACAATATTATGGAAATTCAAATCTGACTTTATCAATTATTTCTAGGATCTTAATACATTATCCACTAAAATATGCCAATTGGAGAGTGAACAAGATTGCATGCAATCAAAAATTACCTCTTTAAAAAGTGATTTAGACAGTTTGTTAAAACTGATGAAACGTGGTCAACTTGATAACAATTGGAATCTTGATGGACTTATTTTTCATGAAATCAAACCTTCTGATATTCCATTACCCAAGTAAGTTACAAATAAATTATTCAAGTTAAATCTCAACACTTTTAAATATTTGAGATAATTTGTATCAATACATTATTTTATTAAAGAGTGTTTTTTTTGTTTCAGTTGTAAATGTAGTCAGGTAAATCAGTATTTTAAATTTCATTGTATTATTATCAGTAGTTTTGTCTTAGTTGTGCAATTGTTGATGTGATTAATGTTTGAATCTTAATTATTTTGGAAATTGTGTGGTAGTTTTTTTTTACTTTTTTAACTGAAATGACAAAATATATATGCTGGATTTTCTGATCAACAATAGTAAATTTTTAAACAGGGAAATTATAAAACTGATGATCATGAAAATAGTAATTTAATAGCTGAATTACAAGAAAATGAAAGTAAATTGCTTTTGTAAGTTCAATTAATATGTCTAATAATTGAAAAATTCTGAAATTATATAAATTTATAGTTCTTGCTTATATATTAATTTATTAGGTATCAAAATGAACTAGAGGATAAAATATGTATTCTTGAAAAACAAGTTGATGCAAAAGAGGATATCATTCAGAGATTTTCGGATGAATTAGAAAAACTGAGAGATTCCTTGCAAAAAAATTATATTTCAAAAAATGATTGTAGTTCTTATTCATCTAATATCAATACTGATTGTGGTGTAAGTTACAAAATTAGTTTAAAAAGCTTAAGATTATTTTACTTATAGATGAGAAAATTCAGTTCTAGAAATTTAATTATTATTAGTTGTAATTAATTGTTGTACAATTCATAAGCAATGTATATTGATATGCAGATCACTAGTTCAACTGATAGCTGTTATATTGATGAAGTTGCAAATGTTCGCAAGCAGTTACAAAACTCTGAACAAAAATTAAAAAAAATAACTCATGATTATGATTGTGAAATTTATAAATTAAAAAAGGTTTTAAAAGAAAAATGTAATGAATTGGATAGTATTTGTGCACGCTATAAATGTTTTGAACAAGTTTGTCTTCAATGTTATAATATTGTACTTAAAAGTTATCTATAAAATTTTAATTGATTTTATGTGTAGGAAACTGCAGAGGCTCATGAAGCTTTGACACAAGAAATAGCTGAAAAACATGATACAATAATGACTTTGAAAAAAGAAATTGCCTGTCTCCAAAATAAGTTAATAGAAACTGAAAAGGCTGCACAATTGAAAGATGATGTTATCATTCAGTTAAGAAAAGATTTGCAAACAGCTAATCAAAAGGTAAATTTAATTTAATGAACGATACATGTACTTTTTTATTGTCTTATCGCTTCGTTTTTAGTTGAAATCCTTGCAGAACTTACCTCCTCCGCTCAATCCTACTCCTTCTGTATTCCTGAATGCCTCGTGTCCAAATGGTGTATCCGCGGTGAAGGGTCAAGTTAATCATTCTTCATATGACTTTTATTGCGAAAAACATTATAATCAAGAGATAAAATCAGTAAATAATCAAAAAAACCAATATCAAACTAAATGCACTGCACCCACGGAACATAGTAAAAATAACAAACGTCAAATTGATAAAATGATCGTTGAAACTTTGAATTCACGGCAAGCATCGATCAATCCCAGCTGCAGAAATCAATGTACAAAAAACAATACTGTTGCTTTTTTAACTGAAAATTAACTTTATTTTTATATCAATATAAAATTTTGATTAATCTATAAAATTTAAACCAAATAAAATAATCAGTGAATGTTATTTTTACAAATGTATATAATATTTTTTACAAAGCTTGATTTACTAAAATTACAAAGACATTTCATGTATAATACTCATTATAAGTAAAATAAAATTGATCAATGATCGTTTTTTTTTTCAGGCAAAAACTTCCACTAGAAAAGTTAAAATTTGTCCAGAACCTCTTGAGAATCTTGAAAAAAATACGGATGGAGATACATTAAGAGATGTAACAAAACAATTGGAAGATTGCAAACGATTATTGGAAGTGAAAGATAATGAAATAAAGATGTTCAAAAAAGAATTATCTGAAAAATCTAGTCATGTATATAGTGAAAAGGTGTTGATAAATGTTTGAGAAAAAAAATTAAGACTTATATACTAATAAGAATTTATCATTTTCAGGATAACAGTAATTTCCATGGCTCTTCCAATGTTAGTGAGGTAATTCGAAATATTATACAAAAAATTTTAAATGATCATTACAAAGTTTAAAGATTACTAATTTTTTTTTGCCCGTAAAATAAAGGATGACATTATACCTTATCTGATGAATATAATTGAATCAACGGAAAAAGAAAGAGACATAATACTCAACCTAAAGTCTGAATATGAAAAGGTTTTAGAAAATTTAAAACAAACTAAGGTAAAACATTTTTTTCTAAAGAAATTATAAAAAATTGTATTATTATTAATCTATTTATTGTTTCAGAGTATATACGAAAATGATGTATCTCTTGCTAATGAAAAACTAGAGGATATATTATCTTGCCTTTACAACTACAGAACAGAAGTTATAAATCAAGTAAGTAAATTATAAAAAAATACATTTTCTTCCCAAATCTTTAGGCTATTGTTTTATATAAAATGGAGTACCCAAGAGATATTTGTGAGTCAGTAAGTTCATCTTTCTAGTCCCAGAGAACTAATCCTGTGCCAAAGTGAAAAACTGCGTTCAATGATAATATTGAAACGAATTTCTTAACAATACAAAAGCTGGAATCTTAAAGAATTTATCATTATAAAGTAGACTGATTTTCATATCGTTCATGAACTTTTAAAATCAATTCTTTCAAATGATCCAAGTATTCATGTCTATTTTTTTCAGGATAATTGCAGTGATAAAAACTTCATAGTAACTGTGGAGAATAAAATTGTATACATTCAAAAATTATTTCAGAGTCAATGCGAGGTAATTATTTTAAATAAATCGAAATAAAATTACAATACAATTACGATTAAAAAAATAATTTATTTGCAGACGTGTGTTAAAGAAAATGTTGTGCAAAAGATAAAAGAAATAATTTCTATAGTATCTCCTGGAATTTTAAAATTGGCTAAAATGTTTGAAAATAAAAATAAGTCATTACCACTCATAAAGACAATGGTTTGTGCATTTGATCTTGAAACATATAATTGTTATTTAAAATAAAATTTTTATATGAATATTAATCTTTCAGGTGAAGAACTGTAAATCTAAAAAAATGGCCAGTGATGTTAAAAAAGAAAATGAAATAGAACATAAAGAGGTAAAATTTTGAGATATATCATTGATCAATTTCAATGTGATTTTATGAGATTTGTGAAATATTTTCAGATCTTTGCTGCTATTGTACAACAATTTCGAATGATGGAAGAATTTCGAATATGTACCGTAGAGGTTCAAGCAGCTACGGAAGATTTACGGGAGGAGATATCAGAAATTATTTCTAATTTAAACTCACGTCATAGCAAAGTATGTACACTTTTATTTTATAATGAAAAACTGGAAAACTTTAGAACTGATAAATTAAATTAAATCGACTTTTCAGTATGTAGCACTAGATCAAATGATTACTCTAGTGCAAGATTACATTTCAGTAGCCAAAGATCGTGTTATAGAAATAGTAAATTGCTTAGAACTTCAGGTAATTTTTAAAGTATACAAATGTTTTAATAATAAATTATTATTTTTATAATTACAGTAGACCGTTAATTTTTAGAATGAAGAGAGAAATCGTCACAATCAAAGAATTTCTAATAACAGAGTAAGATTAAAAGATTTGAAAAATGAACTAAATACCTCACAATTAGATTTGTCAAAGTTTCTCAATAATGTACAAAGCGATATGCAGGTATTGAATAATGAAAGTTACTATGTAAATTTTAAATTTCCCGTGAAAAAATATTTGGAGAATATTTCGTATTTGCAGCAAAATGGTCCATTTGGACACCCAGACGTTCACGCATGTGAAGATTTGATAACGTCAGTGGTTGAAGAAGTTGAACTTATTGTAAATAATCTACAAGCCTTCCAAGATAACGAGTGTTGTACAGTATCCTCAATGACAAAATTAAAGGATCATTTAGTGAGCATGGAAGATCATGTGAGAGGATTGAAAAATAAATCAGATAAAATAGTCAGTACTTTTACAGTATTTTTTTTTTAACTTATTGTGACATTCTAAAAATTGTATATGAATTTTCACAGTTGGAGGAAAATGAAGAATCTCACAAATCATTCATAGAAGAAGAAAAACTTTTAGAAAAATATGAATGCGAAGTTGACAATTGCCATACTAAAATGCAAGACGTTCTACAAAGTATTATAGATGTTAGAGATCAGGTATTTATTATTTATTAAAAATATTCAAGCCTATTTTTACCCATTATATAATCTACAAAATGAATGTATAAGAATTCATTGATTATTATACATTATTAGTTATTAGTCCATTTCTCTTAACCCATTAAGTCCGGGACAGACACTTTTTTGATACTTTTTTGAACCGTTGTACTTTTGCTGAAAACGGTATCTGAAGAAATTGCGAGTAAACATATTCTACGCAAAATTTAATGAACTTTCCGAATCCGGTGTCAGATTTTCAATATCACAAACAGGTCAAAAGTTATGGATGGTTTTATAAAAAATAACGTGATTTCAAAAAAAAAATTTTTTCTTTTCGAATTTTCACATGAAAATCTTTTAAATTCTGGCGTCTTCGGTACAAATAAAGCGTCCATGGGTCCTTCTCTTAAAGTTATGATGGTTCCAATTCGTGAAATATGATTGTAAGTACAAAAAATGGCGACTGAAACACGAAAATATATAAGGAAATTTTTGGAATTTTTAGCTCAAAAACGATGGATTTAAGAAAAAAAATTTTACTGATGAATGAGTTCTTTGATAAACTCTAAGAATTTATCGTTTTTGAGCTAAAAATTCCAAAAATTTCCTTATATACTTTCGTGTTCCAGTCACCATTTTTTATACTTAAAATCATATTTCACTAATTGGAACCATCATAACTTTAAGAGAAGGACCCATTGACGCTTTATTAGTACCGAAGACGTCAGAATTTGAAAGATTTTCATGTGATAATTCGAAAAGAATAAAAAAATTTTTTTTCGAAACCACGTTTTTTTTATAAAACCATCCATAACTTTTGACCTGTTTGTGATATTGAAAATCTGACACCGGATTCGGAAAGTTCATTATATTTTGCGTAGAATAGGTTTACTTGCAATTTCTTCAGATACCATTTTCAGCAAAAGTACAACAGTTCAAAAAAGTATCAAAAAAGTGTCCGTCCCGGACTTAATGGGTTCATTCAATTCTCTAACCATTACTGTTACCGAAAATGATTCAAGCTCCGAAATCGAATTGTATCCGATTTTTTAAATGTCTTTTATCTAATTCTAATATTGTATTTAGAGAAATGACCGGAAATCTTATTTTTATCGCTCATCTAGAATGTAGTTACATGAGATAAAATTATTGTTTCTTTACCTATTGAAGTAAACTAAAAATATTAAATTCAAGGTGCTGTAGTAGCGTATTTAATTATTACTGTTTTCTTATTGTTAAATTATTTTTAACTATTACAGATGAACGAATATGGGTGCATCAAAGAATCTACCAATTCTTTTGAGGTATGTCAATTTTAATTATCATTATAATGTTTGATTAGTAACGATAAACTTTTAAACATAATCTTTTACTATCTTTTAAATTAAACAGAGTACAAACGAGGCAATAAAATTGAAAGGAGACTTAAGGAAAGTTAAAAAAGAATGCGAAGAATTAAAATCAAAACTATCCAGGGTAAATATATTTAACCATTACCAAACTTTAAAAATGTTCCGATTCATATTCGTTTTAATATTAATTGCAGACTTCACAACTTACAAAAGAACCACGTAAAACAGTAGATTTACAATCTCAAATAATAGGTTTACAAGAACAAATTAAAACGTTACAAAGCCAGGTATAATATTTTTTTCTGATTATTTTTTGCGAATATAAGCCTTTGTGAATTTGAACCTGATACTTTTTTTCAGAATAAATGCACTCAAGAAGCTAATGTACATTTGAAACGCAGCTTGGAAGAATTGGAAAAGGAGCTCAGTTGTTCACGAGTTAAGGCTGCAGAATATCGGAAAGGATCTTCTTCAGAATGTTTTGAATTGAAAAAGAAAATTTTTGAATTGGAAAATTCCGTGAGTATTTATTGAAAAATACATTTTTTCTTGGTATTATTAATATTAAAAATTTTTTATAGGTAAGAGGTAAAAAAGACACAGAAAATAACTTCAAGTGTTTGGGAAATAGTGATGCCAGAAAAATGAAACTTCTTGATTATACTGTGAGTAGTTAATTGATAAAAATTATTATCATCGGAAAAAATAAGTTTAATGTTTTTATCTGTATAAATTTTTCAGTTTAAAGACAGTGTTTTAAGGCATAGTTTACCTGGAGCATACGATGTAAGAACTCATTGATCATATTAAATCATGTTTGAATTCTCTTTTTATAATTTCTTTTCCTCTAGAATTTACCACAAATGTTCAGATTATTGCAAGAAGCTATACATACGATGTCTAGTGGATTGCAAAGACTTAATTCCGAGTTAACTGTATTGGTGAGTAGTAACGTTTAATAAATATAACACATGAAAGCTATTTTTTAGTTAAACACATTTAACTCCTTATAGTTACCCAAGGGATCACCTGTTGATTATAATGATTCAGTGAGCTGTGCAGTGGAAAAAATATCTGAATACATAGATTCAGTCAAAAATTGTTCTTTCGAAGTTGAGAAAGCTAAATCAGCTTTATATTCAAAAGATAAACTAGTAAGATAAATATTTCCAAGCATAATAATTGTTTATGAGCTTGAAAACCATTTAAAATGAAATTTTATTGCAATTTCAGATGGAAAATATGGAGAAAATTATTAAAATTCAAAAAGACTCTATAGCAATATCACAAACAGAAGTAGAAGATCTTCATAAAGCTTTGCAAGAAAAGGTACAGTTTTATTATCATACAATTGATGGAATACCTTATTCAGATTCTCTTTTTGACCCACTGTTTCTTTAACTTTTTTCTCGTTTTTCCATCACATGTTATTTTTTTTTTAATTTTGACTTGGTGTTTGTGGCTTTAATAGCATGACGATCCTTTAATTAAAATAATGTAATTATTTGAGGTAGGTTTTGTGTTTTTATATTTTTATAATGTTGAATTGTTAACAGATACAATGTAATTTTTTTTTTCAATTCCAGATCGTTGAAAAGGCAAAAGTCGTAACACAGTATGAAGACGAAAAAAGTCAACTTAGTAAGCAGGTTCGATATTTTATTTACTTTTCTAAAAAGTTTTTACGTCAATAGTAATAATTGCAATTTTTCGGCAGATTGAAATGCAAGAACAAACAATCAAGAATTTAAAAGAAATTGTGATCAATTCCAAACGTAGAATTGAACAATTGACTAGCAGAGTTGCAACTGACGTGAGTGAGCCATCCTGGTCTTCCGCATCTTCTTCTGTGCTCAGTCATAGAACTCCGCACGATTTTTAATAATTCAATAAAATCGTAGTATTAAGTTTTTTTTGAAAATTTTCTGAAAAATAATTCCACTAATACGTAATGAATGCTAAGCAATATAACGCACCTTCTACCGACAAACATATGAAGGTAAAGCTGATGAACTTTTTTAAGAAAAAAAGTGCGATAAAGGAATTATGTAAATATAAATTTGAATTCAATCAAAGGAAAGAGATGTTCAATAATTAAATCATGTTGATAGTTGTTTTAAGATTTAAATATATTCTAGCATTGGAACTATTTGTTTCAATGTCTACTATGAATTACCTGATTACGCTTGTGTTTTTTCTCTCACCTAATATTCCCTATTAACATTTTACGAATTTTAGCTTTTTGGTTTTTTTTCACTAACATTTTTGAAAGCTTTTGAAAGTGTCGATCAATACTAGTCAATCGACGGGTTTGTTTTTATTGATTTTGTGTTTTCTCATGCGTCCAAGTAACACCGTGAGTTCACTTAGTTTTTTACAATACTTATCACAGTCATTTGCATAACTTATTTAATTTTACATCGAATGCATTTCAATTTTAGAATCGCGAGAAAGATGCTACAATAAAAACTTTACAATTAAACTTAACTGAAACTCAAAGTCAGTACGACGACTGTTATGGAGAGGTAAGCGCATGCTTTCTACATAATACACAACAGTATCGTTGTTTATATAATATCTGCCTGTCTTATTGTAAATTGCAAAAAAAGTAATAATTTGAATCTCAATCTTCAGGCAAGTAAACAGGAAGCCCTTCTAGAATTACAACGAGATTCCGTAACAAAGTTACAGGAAAGAATCTGTTCTCTCGTTCGTGAAGGGATTACAAATGCATTTATTTTGCATTTCGTTTATTCAATAATAATACACAAATATGAGGTAGGGGACAAAAAATTATGTATAATGATTTTATATTATGTATTGGGTTTAAATAAATTGTTGTTTTCAAAACATTCGTACGTTGGTATTTTGATTAGACTTGCGATTTTTAGAATAAAAAAAAAAATTTTAAATAATTTCATTTTATTAATCCACTCATTTTTTGTTTAATTTTAGGAAGAGTTGAGCTATCTGTTGAACAAATGTCATTTATTCAAGTTTGAGGTAATAAATTGATTATATAAATAATTCTAAAAATTAGTAGATAATATTCCTTTATTATTTTTAGACTGATAAACTTGAACGCGCAAAAAATCTTTTAAACGATAGATGCGAAAAACTCGAGCTCAGCTATCAAAAGGCAAAGCAAGAAATAGAAAGATTAAGGTTCATACGCAATTTGCACTTTTATTTATTTTAATATTTTTCTTATTAAACCATTTTTTAACTTTCAGACAAGATCTTGAAGATTCCTGTAATAAGTTGTCTATTGAATCAGAGTACAAAATCAAGAATTTGAAGACTGAAAATGAGGCTTTAAATAGTATTATTCGAGCGTACAAATCAGATTTAGACTTGATTAAGGAAGAAATGAAAAAATTAGGATTAGTTGATTTTTCTATTGCAAGCATTAAACAAGGTATCAATTTTATGCGTGTAGAAAATGAACAGTTTAAAAATGATTCAGAGCGATCTAAAATGGTAAGAATAAAAAATTTAATTCATAAGTATTTTTTTACTGGATACTTCTTATTTATAATTTTACAGACCATAAAAGATTTGAAATTGGCCAATGAATGCTTAACCAAAACATTGCACGATTTCAAAGTCGGAAAAGATGCAGCCGTTATTAAATTTAAAGAAAAAATTATGCGACTGCAACACGAAATTGCATTAAAAAATGAAAAAGTACGGTTAATCGAGATCACGGTGTACCTGCTAACTTTAACGATTCAATTTTTAAAAATTTTTTAATTTTTTCAGATAAAAAGTTTAGGCACACAAGTGGGTTACGGAGAAACGATTATTGACGAACAATTGGATCTCATCAAAGATCAGAGCAGCAAATTATTTTATCATGAGCATTACGTTAATGGATACTACAAAGAGCTTGATTCATCAAAAGAAGTCGTGAGTGTTCTCCGAAATCACTTGGATTCTTTGCAAGAAATTTTAAAAGAAAAAAATGATTGCATTAATAAGATCAAAGAAGAAAATCTAATTTTACGAGTAAGAGTCATATTTCATAGTTTTCATTATGAGATTTTCTTTGTTTGGTAACAGAATCGATATATTTTTAGAACAATAATGATTTACTTATGGTCGAGCTTAATTTACAAGAACAGAAAGAAAAAAATGAGGTTTCTTTTATGCAACAACAAGTTAGTAAAAAAATACAACTTTTTAAAATATGAATTTCATAACTAATTCATAATCCTTTCCAGCTTAAGTTCGCAAAAACTCAATTAGTAGAGACGCAACAAAATTACGATAAGGCAGTCCAAGAATTAAAGAAGAAGGAAGAGTATTTGATTCAATTAGCGACGAAATCTAACCCTGTAGAACAACCTCAGACGATCGCGACTCCGGATATCTGCAAGTGTGTGACGAGAGGTATAGAAGAGGAACTGAAAAATACTCAAGAGGCTGTACAAACTCTTAACAAAGAATTAGAAGACGTTCGCGAGAAACATTCCTTGATGAAAATTGCGCTATCCGAAGCTCAAAATAAATTAAGTACTGTCTCGAGCAAATTTGAAATATCCGAGAGAAGTGTACGTCGTACTTAAACTATTTTAAAATTATTTTTTTGCCGAATTTCAAACATATCTATTGATTTTTTACAGTGCCAACGGCAAAAGGATGAATCGATGCTGCTGGAGAAAAAACTGGCTTGCATCAATCAAAAGTTTCAGAGTTGTACGGATAAAAATGAGGAACTTATCAAGCAGAATAAAGCCCTCGAAGACTGTAATAATAAATCTCTAGAAGAGGTGAATACTGCCAACAATTTTTATTTATTCTATGTTTTAAAATAAATTATGTTTTGGGAAACTGTATGCTTAGTAAAAATTCATATTACTTGTAAAATTTATTAATAATAGATGCGGAACGTAAATACTAAAATTACTTACCCGAGTCAAATGATCAAAGTAATTTATTCATAAAAATATACAAAATATGAATACATCTAATGAAAATAAGTTCTTCTCACTCGACCATCGTATTTTTTCACATTTCAGCTCGAAGACATCGTATTACAGTTGGAAGACATGCAAAGCTCCCTCGTAGAATTGCGCAACGAATGCGATACGAAGACCCAAGCGTTGGACAACGTATCTCAAGAGCTCGAACGCATGAAAGTCAGCCGTCTAGAGGTGTGCGAAGAGTCGAAAAGCGTTCTCGAGTGGGTCCGTCGTTGGATGCAAGAGCAAAAACAGCGGGTCAAAGGTCTCCAAGACGAGCTCCGAGATAAACATAAGCACCTGAAGCGTGCGAACGCCGATAAAAAGTATTTTTCACATTTGACAACTAGTACTAGTGGAGAGAGAGTAAAATTTCATTTTTCGTTTCGCAGAAAATGCATACTTGCAATGAGACAAGTCAGACGAGTCAACAAAATGCTGAAAAAAAGATTGAAGTACATTCACAGGCCGCGACAAATCATATCGTACTCGAATGCTTATTGTCAGCAAAACAACAAGTCACAGGTCCAGCCTTCGGTAGATCACGTCCAGATAAATGGTTTGTCGCACACAACATGTTCAACGTATCAAGCGCACGCACCCGATTCCAAATCGATCTATACTATTCTTAGAAAGGTACGAAATAGTACGAGTCCTGAAAGAATGTTTACTATTCTTTACGTCTCCTTTTTATACTTTAGGAATGCAACGACAGACAAAATCATGCCGTCGATAAGCTACAAACTAAAGGAAACTATTGGTGGTTTCCCACGCTGGAGCACATATTGAGAGAAATGCCAAAAACTGTCAAATTTAACCGAAACATTATCAGCGATAATAAAATTTTAGACGAGTCTATAGATTGTGGTTACATGACGTCAAGTAGTAAATAGTTTTTTTAGAGTCATATATATTTCTTAACATTCATGTACTTAATTTGTAGATTTTTCTTAGATTTAGAAACAAATAATAATAACTAAAATATTACTGTCATTTTTAGATATTTACTTAAATTTGATCAATATCGATATAGAATTTATATTTGTAATTATATTTTTATGAGTGAATATAACATTTTTTAGAAAAACATTCTAGCTTACTAATTGAACTTCACAATTACTGATTAACCCTGCAGCATTGTTTCTTCTTTAAAATTAAGTGATAATTAGGGATGCAAGCCAATCGCGTGAGCTCTAATTTCTCCATGTATATCCGCTGAAACATTTCAAGCAACTCGTCGTATTCTGAAAAATTGAATATCATATCGCTTTCTGGTGGTTTCTGCAAGGATGTGCATTTACGTTAATTGAGACACACGCGTATATCATGACTTTGTGCAATTGCGAGAAAAAATTTTGAGCTCTCAGTAAATCTAACCAGTAAAATATGTAGATCAAGACCACGTTGAAAAAAATCGTATGTATCGCGGCCCGTACGCCAAGGTGTTGAGAGAAAAAATCGGTGTGTCAAGTAAAATAATCCCAGTACTGCTGATATTCCTTTACCGGAGAACTTTTTATCTCTGGAAATGTTTTATTCGATCCGTGAACAAAAGTCTTCTTTAACTTAAATTTATCTTCGTTTTTTAGATTCATGACAATTGAGTAAACATACCTCATGTACTTAAAAATATCCCAAGCAAAGTTTAAAAAAACCTCTCTGCCTTTTCCCTCGAATATTACATTATCATTGGGTAATCTTTTGTCTGGAATTAAAGAAAAGCTTGATAGTAATTTTTTTCACAACGTATATTAATAATAATTCAAAGTTATTTCATAATATACAATTGTATATATATATATATATATACCAATAATAAATGTAATTGCATTTTTATCAAACAAATTTTGCTTCATGCACTTCACGTCATCAGTTTTAATAAATGTCCAAGTACACAACGTCGGCCTGAGCTCGACGTCATCATACTGTTTAAAAGTCGGATGATCTGGTGAAGGCCAAGGTCCACAGAGATCATCGTAGTCCGCAATATAATGTACGTTAGGTTCGGATGTCCACCTTCTCGGTGACAACGGCGGCTCATTTTTCCTAACCAAATTGCACTCCGATAAATTCGTCCTCTCTATGTCTAATATGCCGTCCGTGAATTCGATCGATTGCCAGCTGAGATTTCTCACGGCTTTTTTCATACATCGACAGTATTTAACGTATCTTAATGACATTATTCTATGTATTTATCTTCGTCGAAGTTAGTGGACAAAATTGCACTTAAATTAAGAATTCTATGTAATGCGTATTTACAGAGTTACAAATTCCAGAAGAAAGCGCCCGAAGTTAGTTTTTAGAAAAAACAAAAACAGAGATAGAGTATAATCTGTATATCTTATAAAATAAAAATTATGATCAGATGACTGTTCCATATTCACAAATTTATTCATTTTCATTATTCGATTATTCATTCTTAGTATGGTTGAAAGTTCCTTTGCTCATGTTTAAAATTAATATTTTGTTGGTATTATTTTAAAAGTGTGTTATACGCGGTGAGTTAAACAGAAATCAAATGCATAACAACATAAAAATCGTAGCAATATAAATGATCGCTACTATCTTACAAGATTTGAATGCCAAAATGTTCTCTTGAATACAATAATCGATTATGCACGCATGAATTTTCACACAGGTACACGAATACACTCACAAGTTAACACATACGATAATCAATACATAATTAGCATCATTATTACTTATTATTACGCATGTTTTATCACCCTATATGATTTATCATATCATGTATTTATATATTTATAACGAAATACCCCTCCGCTTTTTTTATTTCTATTAAAATTACAAACGGGAATAACGCATACGCACGCATGATTACAGCATATTCATTTTTTACTTCGTCTCATTCACATAAATAAAGCTAAAATTGGTGACAGTATAATGGATTTGCATATTCGCGCGTTGTGTGATGTTGACATGGTATCACACGTGCAGTAAGAGTTCATGTCGCACTGTTCACTTCCATAACACACTAGTTTAGTTTGTGATGTATAATCCATTTGAAATCAATTGCTGACACATTGAAGATGTATTTATTTTCTTGATTATAGTACAAATCTGTAACCAAACAAAGACCAGTTTAACGTAAACTTATAGTTGAATATTATCAAAAAAAAATGTTATGTACTTATAATAATTTCAAACTAGTGAGTTTTTAAAAAATCGGATTTCCTCAAAACCATAAGCATGGTTAATTTTTAATGCTAGGCAACAGCGTCAAAAAATACTTACCATTTTTATTTCAAAATAACATTGTAAATACGATCGAAATTCATAGTTGAAGAAAGAATAAAATTACAAAACTTAAAATACAAACAAAATGTCTTTATCAATAAAAATTTAATTTCATTTTGGCAAGCTACAAATAATTGAAGGATACAAAATTGATTGTTTATAGAATATACATGAGGACGGAGGAAAAAAATAACAATTTAAATGAATTCGATTCATTATTAAATCAATTAACAACAATAAATGTAGGTCCAAAATTATTGTACAATTAAAATTTTACGTGCATCATTGCAACTATACGAAAAAAATTCAACGATCATTTTAAAATTGAAAATTATAGACAAATATGCATTTACATGAGTTAACTCTCACATTTATAAAATCTAAATTATTGTATTTGTTCAGCTCGCATAAAACCAGTTTCATTGTAAATATTACTGTATGAACATTTTTTTTACTGTCATTCATTTATTCAAAACCCTACAGTATCATCGAATAATAATAATAATAATAATAATATTCACGATAATGATAGTAATAAGAATAATAATTGGAATAAATGTGATGTACTTTAAAATTAAAATTTATAATATGTAAAAGCAAGGCTTGCTTGCCTTGGAAATCTGCAATACATTAATAAACGTAATATACTCTGTTAACTAAACATTGCATTTTCTAGTAGCAACACTAATATAAAATAGTTTTTCATTTGCTGTTTTTCTTATTAAAACGTTTTTTATTGGTATCATTTTTTGTGTCTTCAATTTTAAATTCGGAATTTCAAAGTTTAAGATATAAATGCACAGCTATATACAGACGTAAACTTTTTGTCTGCAAAAAGCATTTTTTTTATTTTTTTTATAATAAATGTACACATTAACGACGTACAGAAAAACACAGCACGAGTTACATCCCGAACTTTCAAGTTCGAGCCATAGAAAATTAAATGTTTTTACCCATTCTCAGTGATTTTATCATTTTATTATGGGAGCATAAAAATTATCTACTGCAAAAATATATACCAATTTATTGTGTATAACACATACGGTTTTGGCTAATCACTTGCAGCAGTTGCCAGAAGTTGGTTTTTGCCCTTCGGATTCAACTAGTCTACGTCCTTGTCCACTTGTGCCAGCGTTTCCTGTTTGTTCATTCTTTGGAAGTTTCTTAGCTGCAAAAGGAAAATGTAATAATCATATTTTTTTTTCATAATTACATCAAAGTTTATCAGAAAATTTAGTTTTTATTTTGAACTTGAAATCTCACCTATAGCAAGGAATATATCATTGACATTCATTGCTGTCTTTGCAGATGTTTCCATGAAGAGAAGACCATTTTCTTCAGCATATGCTTGAGCTTCTTCATATTCAACTACTCGCTTATTTCCAAGGTCAGCTTTATTGCCTGCTAAAGCTATAACTATACTTGGACTGGCTTGCCGTTGTAGTTCCTTTACCCATGTCGTAGCTCTTGTAAATGTGTCCTAAATAATTTTTTATAAGTAAGCATTGTTACAAAGAACAAACACACAGTGAAAATAGTAAAGCTATTTTTCACACAATTGATTTTAAATTTGATATTTACTAACCTGGTTCGTGATATCATATACCACAATAGCTGCCTGTGCACCTCGATAGTACATAGGAGCAAGACTGTGGTAACGTTCTTGTCCTGCAGTATCCCAAATTTCAAACTTGACGGTAGTCTCCTCCAAACAAACAGTTTGTGTTAAAAATGCAGCTAAAACGTTTCATGAGCATTAGATTATTGTGTACTAATAATCAAAAAGTAAAATATCAGTCATTTGAATAATTCACCTCCAATTGTACTTTCTTGGTACTCATGAAATTGACCCTTGACAAACCTCAAAACAAGACTGGATTTACCCACTGCAGATTCACCTAGTAAGACCAATTTGAATTGGCATATCTTGCCTTGTGTTCCATTAGGTCTCTGGGCTGTACCCCGGCTAGCCATGATGACCTGTAAAAAATCATTATTTAGTAACTGTTAGGACACCTGTTTTTCAATTATTCTTAACTCTTAATCATTGCATACATTCATAATTTATTAAAACGGTTATAAAATCCTTTATGAGAGAAAATATTAAGCGAGCCAGTATTTTACATATCGTTTGTTCATGTGCATACAGAGAGCGAGAGACGGCGCACGGATCTAACCAAAAGTCCATTTGCCAAGATAACATTCTATTTATGCTGAGAAGTGCTTTAGATAAGACACTTATTTGCGCTCAAATGTATGGAAGGCCAAAATGATAAAAAAAATTAGCTTGTTCGATCGTTGCTTTACACACTTTCGCTCTCTTTCTCTTGCTCTCGAACATTATAGCATCATCCTCGATGCGTCATATCATAATTATCAAAGTACTCTACCCTTATAAAAATTTCCTATAGGATCTCGCGAAATTCCTACAGGAGTCCTATAGGATTTCAATAGGAATTTCGCGGGATCCTATTGGAAATTTTTATAAGGGTAACATTCAGGTACACGTAATTAAACATAGCATAAGCTCATCAAAAAAATAAATTCATCGGGACATTTGAGACTTAACATCGGAAGTGACATTTTGCATTGATGTGTACGTGATTGATTGCGTTTCTGCATCGTTAATCCTTAAATGTGTATACTGTATGTATTAGTTAAGAGTCAATCGCAATAACGCTTCTATTGATTCGAGAATAAATATCGAATCCTGAGCAAAAATCACGCGCTCGTTTAATCTCTCGACGCGTGTATATTATACTGATTTATTTTTTCGTTGTCGTTGTCGTCGCATATGTATACATGAGTGTCTTTTTAACTCTACGTCACAGTGCAGCAAATAATCCCATTGTATATACGTACACAAACAAACTCCGAAAACAACAATTGCGAGGTTTTATCATATAGAGAAATACGAGGCATATTCACAGATAAATCTGGAAGGAGAGAGAGAAAGAGACAGAAAGAGAGAGAGACAGAGAGAGAGAAACGACATTGCACCGAGAGGAAATAGTTGCGAATCATTTTGCATTACCTAACTGCACTTTGTGCCTAAGGAGAGGAGCGTCTCTCTATATGTATAAGTGCCGTAAGAGACTAAAAAAAATAAAAAATAAACGCCGTGATTTTCTCGCTAATTGGCAAGTGAATTTATTGTATACAAATCACTGCTAGACGATATCTAGTACTGCTAGTATTGCACGGCTGTTGTCGCTGAACACATTGGCACAAAAGATGTACGATTATATATTAAAGGCTCTCTCTCTGTCTTGCTTATATATATGTATTTACGTACAATCGAGTGAGGTTAGGAATACCTCCCGACTTTTGAGCGATTACAACGCAGTTTATATACTGCCTCGACACCGACACCGACGACGACTACGACGACGTTATATATATCTGCACTCTTTTTCCTTCTCTCTCGGTAGCTCCGACTGACTGCTTGTGCACTGGATTATTATGCACACGCACACGCACATACACGAACTTATATATGTTGTACAGCGTGATATCACGCATGAATACGTACGATTTTTTGCGTTGACGTTTGAAGAGGATAAAAATCAAATAAACGGCAGCTCCGCGCGGCTCGATGGAAAACAGCTGCTAACACATCGTTTTGTCAACTCCTATATCTGGCGTGCACTCGACCGCAATACACGATATATCTACCTATACAGAGACGTAGCTATATACACGAATCGAATTGGCAAATAACGCGAGCGTCTGCGTTCGCTCCTGCACTGCAGCAGCAGCAGCAGCGAGTCGTGCTATACGCGTACAAATTCGTGCCAGATGAGGCACACTCAGCGCGAGGCAGGAAAAAAGGAAACAAAATAAATAAAGAAAGAAAAAAAACGGAGCCCTGAACTTGTCACAAGATGTCACCGCCCCCGCCGATTGAGCGACAAGGAAAACTGACTTTACAACTGCTGAACAAGAGTAGCAGCAGCGGTAATTCAGCACACTTATGTGTACGTTTTGACTTTCTTGTAGGTGTGTGCGTAAGTTCATTTGCTTGTGTATGTCAGAGCGAACGTGTCAGTGTCGTGCACAGACAAATCGTCATCGAGTATTTGTGTGATTGTAGATGTACACGAGAATCGGCTTGTCTGTTTCTCTCTTTGCCAACGTCACAATGTTGCGGAGACGCGCGCGCGCGCGAACATACAAAGCTCGCGAGCCACTCAAAAGTGTCGTTGTCTTGCTGCATTGTGTACATACAACATTTATAACTATACAAAGTGCAATTTGAACATCATTGACCTTCTATAATTTCGACTGCCCACGTACTTGTATGTAAACATTCAATTGTCACAGATTCGCCAAAGTCGATTGCATTGTTGCTTCTTTCTTTGATCATCAATGCATGCACGTTTACTCGTCACGATGATTGTTCAATACAGGTATATAATGTACACGTGTATATATTTGACTGTGTGATAGTTAATTACTATTACAAATGAATCAATTACGCAACAATGCTAAATTTCAAAGGTATTTGCGTGAACAACACTATATAGAGCACAAAATCACCTGATTCGTTCTCAAACTTGGATTTAGAGTTCTTCGATTCACACTATCTATGCTATTTTACGTGTACCCGTCTGCACGTGTGACTTATATTATTATTGCGTTACGACCGCACAAGCCGTGCAAACATGAATAATGAACGAGCTGTATATAGCTCATTGTCGAGCCGAGTTTATTGTTTTACGCAGCTGTCAACAGACGGGCGGCTCATTGACACGAAAAGATATATTGATTCTTGCTTATTACAGAAGGGATAACAACTGAGATATTCTTCAAGTTCTAGAAGTAGATATTTCAATACAGCTGCAGAATATTTGAGGTGTGCAAGATGGTCTTTGAAATAAAGTTCTTCTGTCCCAATTAATACATGTAAACAGTTTTAATCAGTGATAACCTAACATGTTAATGTTGATATTCTACATAATATCGAATGATTTAATTAAGATAAATTAACACAAGTTTGAGACTCTAAAAACTTGAACAGAGTTTACTTTAAATAATTTTCAATGAAAAATATTGAATTGAAAATAATTCGTGAATACTATACTAAATAAATATTTTTTTGGAATGAATGTGCATTTTTGAAACAATTGCAAAAGTTTATATAATGCCCTAATGCAAACCTTTAAATTATAGAGTTACAAATTTTGGATTTTCATTGCTTGAAGTAAAATAAGATTCTTGGTGACAATGAAGATGTGGCCATAGCACAAAAATCTCATCAATCAACCAGAAGTTTTGATAATGCGTTGTAAGTATTTAATTATAATGTACCTAACTTTGGTCTTACCTAGTCAGTTTTTTGCAATCTTTTAATAAATGCCAAGTCAATATAGTACTGTAATATTCAGATTAAGCAAAAAAAGACAATACTACCAAATTTGTTTCCATTTACTGTCATTTTAAAAATGAATTTTTAGACACTTATGTAGAGAACAAGCCCTTATTTTGAAATTTTCCAATTTTGCTGTACAAGTTGACATTTAATTACTCATAAAAATAATATAATTAATGTTATATGAGTTAGAGTGATAGATACTGATGAATTTGAGTATTCTCGTACAGCTTGAGAAACATGTCAAATTTTTAATCCAAATTTTGCATTTTTACTGCTTTATGAATGTATTATGTGTAATTTCCTAATTATTACTATAAACATCCGTACTGATACCTATTCTCAAATAACACAAATCGTACAAAATACAAGTATATTGTGGCGTATGCACACAGGTAGCTTTTACACCCACAAATTTCACCCAATGAAGAGAGAAAGAAACAGGCAAAAAAATCCTCTTATTAATAAAGTTAGTACCAAGATCGGATTGAACTTTAACTCGAATAAATTTAAAAACTCGTCGTCGAGTTCTATATATGCTACCACAATGTACTATTTGTTGCGCATTGAAATGTAGACGACTGTTTATGCCGCATGCAACGGCACTCGTAAAAATAATATCGACTGTACCATGCATATATGCCATGCATTCCACTGCTCCACGCTACTGCAACGTTGAACGAGGAATTTATAAATCGGTTTATAAGTAATATGTATCCACAACGGAGTCGAACGGTGCGACGCCAGCGTCGATAAGTCCGCGATTCTGTATAAGAGCTCAACAATCGCCTCTTTGGAAGGAAATTGATAAGCATGCCGTATAATTTACAGGCCTAGACGCATGGATAAACCAATCTTCATGAGAAAATTAGTATATTACTGCTCTAGTCCAGGAAAAACAGAAAAGTCCCCCAGAGTACGTGAAATTATAGTGGCCGAGGCGAAGCCGAGGCCGATAAAAATGTTCTCTGTATACTATTTTTCATACACAGTGGCCCAAAAATCGCTCTTCCCGCTTTGCGCAGCGGCAGGGAAGTAGTCACTTTTGGGCCGCTGGTATGAAAAAAAGATTTACGATGCTGCAGTGGCAGTCAAAGTTATATTAGTGATGTCAGCAGTTATTCAAGTGGGAGTATACACAAAGCTTCGTATATGTAACAAGTGCATGCCGGATCAAGCTTATGTAAACAGGCAGAGGCAGCAGTCGACCGAGTATAAGAGTGATAATCATTTTGGAACACGACTCTCGGGAATGCGTTCGTTAATATGCATTTCATACGTATAAGACATCGCGTTTCAATGAAAATAATCTAGTTTCGCTCTATTACCTATGCTCTAACTCCGAGTTTTGAGAGCTGCGCTAATGCATTCGATTTCAGAATTATATGTTGCTATACATAATGGAAAAAAAACATGACGACGAGACGACCTTGAAATAATTTTTCCTGAGTGTATATTGAACTGGCTCGCGTTATACCGACTGTACAAACGCATTTGAGAATCAAAAATGACTTACCGCTGATGAATTTACTGCGCGCATTACAAGATCAAGTGCACCTTTATCGGTCAAATTTTTATGAAAAAAGCTATCTTTCATGTGAAAAAGAATCCGGCGCAATACATATAGACTATTGCTGGGATTTTGACTATGAATCGCCGCGAGTCATTTAAAAGAAGTGTGAGTCGCGTATCATGTTATTTGGGTAAATAAAAAAACCCATGATGTTACGGTGAGTCCTCAAAATGATTTTGGGCAAATAAAACGCGTCATTTACATAAATATATTTTATGTCAATGTAAGATAACGAAAAAGAATTGCGCAGACGTGAGCTTGTTTCGCGCAATGTGTGATACTTTTGAAGAATCAGGCAGGAGAGTAGAATGAGAAAGAGAGGGAAAAGCACGATCAGCAGAAGTAACATTGGCACATTTATCAATGAGCGCCAGCAGTTTTTCGCCGTTGCATGCGCGAAGAATAATGAAAAGCCAAACAAAGGTTCGGAGACTCCTGTGACAAGGACAACAAAGTCCAAGAGCTGCTTATTCGAGCTGTCACGAGCTTTGGCGATGAAAGGTGAAAATGTAGCAAATTACAATCTGCTAATTTGATAATTTACAAAAAAAGGACTACATAAGAGACACCGCATTTGTCACAGTAGTGAACTCATGATTCCTGTTGTAACGAGAGTGGTTTTTTTACTATAAAGGAAATTGATAATTCGAATTAAAAGTTAATGAGTTTTGTACATTTCCTAACTAAAAAACATTTTCTTGGGTATCTAGTGATCTGCTTAATAAGTCAGATTGCGTCTTTAGAACAGGCATGGACAGGTAGATAAAAGTATATCGCATTCGTGCGATATAGGACGCTGCAGGATCCAAGGCTACGAAACGGTTTTTTTCCATCACAACGGAGAATACGTTCACGCAAATGATGACTGAATTTTGTGACACATTACATCGTATCTACGATGAACGTTCATAAACACGCAGTAGACAATCACTGATTATCACGATCGTTATTAAAAAAATATAAGTGTAATCAATTTTGATTCACGTGTACGTAAAAAAAAGTATAGAATGAGTAGTAGACGTACTATCTTTGTCGCGAGTGCGATTAGTAACTTGTGGTAATCGCATACCCTTATAATATTGTAACAGGATTACGAAGAATGTAATGAATATATTATATCGAAATGAATTTGATTTGTTGTGTACGCGTAAGTATGCTTACGCAGCAGAGAGATCGTATCATTTAGTGCCCATGTATGTATCAGTCGAAGTCGACACTCTCGGGGCGTATATATATCGGTGTGAATGTTTGCGTGTATATAAACGAGAAACAAAGACGGAAGTAGATAATCCGCCAGTGGGACTGACTCTTTCACGTCACGGACGTCTCGTAAATTTATAACGTTCATACAATACGCGTGCTGCTGTATAAATATATGCATAGGATAGCAGCTATTGTGACGACAACGATAAAACATATCGGATTCTTTTCTTATTGTGCATTGATCGCCTCTCTTTAGATCTTCTTTTTCGCTCAATAACGGGGCACGGATCTCTTTGGAATCGAATCGTCATCGTGGAATATACGTTTTCCCCCCACGATCAATCAATAGATACACGGCATTAGACCACGAAGGTGAAGCATAAGGAAGTCTCAAAGTCAAGTCCTTGGTGCACGGACAACGTATCCTAATTGCGAGTCTTTGTATGTTGCGGTGTTATTATTAGGCACAGACTTGGCAGTGAATTTCTCAGGCCGTGTGTCCCTACAGGGTGTCGCTCTCTTTCTCGCACACACAGACCATAAAGTCACTCGTACACGTATACGCACACCCGTACATTGGTCCGAAAGAAAGAAATAAGAAAAAATATCACAAGGCTCTCCGAGAAAGAGCGAAAATTGTTTTATGAAATCGACTCTTTATCCTCTTTTACTCAAATATGATCGCAGCCCAAGGATAATGCATATCGAAGCGAGCGGTAATTACCGTGATCTGTGTGAGGCAGTCTCAACAGGGTTGCAGCAGCAGTTGCACAAAGCACCTATCCGTAATTTTCCGCTGGATATGTAATCGGCGAGTACGATCAAGATGACTCAGAGGCACTCGCTCGAACGCAGTTTTCGGCCTTACGCTGTTGCTGCTGAGAGAAGAGCGAATGTTTACACTCTATAAATTCGGTATATCGTACTTGTAGATGACAATCGCAGAGGAATCACTCACTAGTGCGGACGATGCACCAACACACACACGCACTTGACGAGTGCACCGTTGAAAACACAATTGCACCGAGCCTACACACTAACACAATATAACAGCACTGCTGGTGCAGCAGAGAGATGAGCAGATACACGTATATATACAGATATATCGCGCGGCTCAGTAGTGGCAGCAGGGAGGTCGACGTCTCCTCTACTGGGATGTATCTCACTGTCTCTCTATCTATATCTGTTATTACGGTTCAATCACGAACTCGTGCCTGTTTCTTCGGAGCAGGGAACTACCTCGAAATTTGTTACATGTACACGCACGACGACGTTATATGTTCTTTGCAATTGGCACTCTAATTTTTCAAGAGTCAGTTGAGACACGCACACACGTATAATGTATTAGAACGAACACACACGGGGAATCGCTTGCGCACTCACACGTATAGTTAGAACATACGCACAACACCACGCCTGGGATTAATGTAAAAGTCGGACGGCGACGAACGACGATTCGACGACTCGACGAGAGATCGCTATGTGTATAAAGAGTGTAACGCTATAGGCAGCAAGGAGGAGATGACGCACCGATGCATATAGAGACACTGAAATAAGTATAGCAAGTTTTATAACATGGAGTATATGTGCTACGGTATATAGGCGCGTTAGCGGAGAGGAGGATGTACTACTACTTTCACGCTAACTTGCACTTGCTGAGCTGACTCGCTCTCTTTCTCTCTCTACTCCGCGCGTATCTCGCGTTCTTCTGTACACACAGTTCATGTATAGGTACGTTACTCACACACAAACACTCATACGCCGTCGTGGCTTACGCTGAATCAGTCGAACGCGGTACCTATATTATTGTACGCGATATACAACTTGTACTCGCAAATACGCTAAAATGTTCGTCTCGTTTCGGAGCACGACGACGATGATGACGACGACGACGACGACGAAGCGCGAGCTTCGATGCTTCTGAGAGTCGATGTTATAGAAGAAGCCGAGGCGAATTTCGTACGCTCGCACTGACCAGTGCGATGCATATTGCGATTATATTGTGCTATGCTATATCGAGTACATACACAACAAAGGTGTGTGGCTATGGTGCGTCTATGTTGCTCACTCGCGCTCATAGGCGGCTCGCAAAATCAAGCTCTCAGGTCTTTCTGCAGTTACAAGCTTGCGCGGGGCTCGCCCGAAACGCGCGAGCGCGCGCTTCTTAGCCAGTTGTGGATGTGATCTTTGCAGCGAATCTCGTCAAAAATTTTCATTCGCTTACTTTTTTTATCTTGAGGTGTAGTTGGCAAGTTATTATTTCGTTGCAATGGCCCAAAATCTTTTTGAGACTGGTAATTCGAGTAGTAGATGAAAAAAAGTTATTTCTGAAGTGAAACTACTTTACGCGCGTTAGATGGTGAATGCGCCAATTTTCGGACACTTCAGAAAAAATCTCTCTTCGCTCATTTATAGAGCTTATGCATGATGTTTGAACATTTAAAAAAAAATACCATTTGATAAAAAAATGTTACCTTTCGAATGGGTATATTTACTCACCCCGAAAGTAATAACCATATTTATAAAATATCATTAAATGAAAAAAACGCAAATCGCCCAGTTTTCGGACACAAAATCCGATTTTCGACCACCTCAAGCCTAGTTTTCGACCATCCTTGTTTTGCTAATTTAATATAACTAGCACACACACACTTTTCTCTGGTAATTTAACCAGCAAGTATTTTGATTATTCTTCTTTTTTGATTTAGGCCATGGTATCTCTATAAGTATCTATAAGTATTTTACTGATTGTATACTTATAAATACGTTATGAATTTTTTACTCGCTCATTATTGACTTTAGAAAAAAAGTTTATCGAACAGAAAGTGTTTGTAATCGTCCAAAGAATAAGTGTGAATTTTTTTCAGAATTTTTGGATAACGTTGAAAATTTTGCAATATGACCGAATTTTGAGCAATCAAAAATATTTTCAAAAAATTCTGAAAAAATTCACACGTATCCTCTGAACGATTTCAAACACTTTTTGTACAATATAAATTTTTCGTCAAGTTTACGGTTGTCGAGTAAAAAATTGATGAAGTTTGACGCAGCTGCATGGTCTAAATCCGCTTTTAAGACGCAAAGGGGCTAGATGAAACCCCGATAATATTTTTTTCGTAGGTTTATAGCAAAACTGCACGACTTATGGGGTTTCCAGAGCCCTCCAATAGCAGGAAGAGGTCGAAAATCGACTTTTAAAAAAATTTTCGAGTCGAAAAATCACGTTTTTTTTTCATTTGCATAATAAACAATGATTTTGTTAATATTTTACAAAATTAGGACCGGATTCTAAAAGAGTACACCCAAAAACCCCTGGGTATGAATTATTGAGAAAAAACATTAACTTTATCGATGTTTTTTCAGCGATTAAACTTTTATGCGCATTATTGTAGTTTTGAGCGTTAAAGGGTTAAAGTAATCGAACGTGCGGATTTTAGATGGTCGAAAACTGGCTTTCATTTATATTTCACGTTCGGACAGATTTCGCCCCCCCCCCCGTCGAAAACTAGATTTTGATCGAATTCGTCTGCCAGTTGCCGACATATACCGTAAATTATTAATTTACAATTATATGATTAATGTAACGGCTTAAAACATTCGTGTAAACCGTCATTATCAATCAGAATCAATTGCAATAACTTTTGAATGCATTTTTTTTCATTATTACGAATAATTTGAATTGGTCATCTTTAGTGTTTTCTTAAGGAAACGGCAAAATTTGCTTGATCGATCAGAGGCCCAATTATATAATAATTATAAAATGTACATGAATGATTTGAGCACGGAAATATATTTTATACTATAATATAAGGTACCTAGAATACAATAAAAATATTAGGACAAAGAATTTTTCATTACCAGCTTATTTTATTAAGTATTACGATATGGTGGCCGAAAACTGGAGGGTGGTCGGTAACAGGCGCATTTACCCGATATGGGAGGTCATNATCTTTCGATCTAGACTATTTAAAAAAATCTTAAAAATGAAGTTTTCGAGATAATCGACTTTAAAGTTTTCCCAGCGATTTCCCCGGGTAAAGCGGAAAATTTCGGAAAATCTGACCTCACCATCGGAAAGCTGAGGCGATTTCCCATCGAAACCATGGGTTCGTTTTTTTCTCTAGGTGCATTTTAGTACTTTTACAGCGATTCACAAATTTAGTGATTTAGCTTAATTCTGCCGCGCCGCGCGGCACTGGGAGAGTTGACGTGAAATGCCACATATTTTTTTTATTATTGTTTGCTATATGTATTTTGTTGAAATCGATTAGAACTTGTGAATGTCCCTATTAATCATACGGAGCTAATCGACACAACTATAATTGTGACGTACTGACGAACTATGTCTTCCTCTTTGGAGCTTTCATAAATTACTGATATAATTCAAGAAGTTATCTTGGAATGAGACTCTTTTCCTTACAAAAATAGCTACTTCACTTTTCAATCGCATAATTCAGGCCAGAAAAATGCATATCGATATTTCTTATTGTATCAGAGCCAATTGTGAATTTAAGAAATTATAAATACGCTCTCGAGTCTGTATCACTATACATGTTTTTTATTCAAATTCACCCAATAATCGTTAAAAAAACTCGAACGTATAAATTTAATTTCTGGTAGCTATTATTTCAGAATTTCTATCTATTTAAATAACAAAGCAACCTTTATCTGTTTCATCACAGACACACAATTTAAATTTGTCCAGATTTTTCACAAAATCATTCAACGTTCACCACTGTGTTACATTTATGTCTACATGATTTTTGTCCGCAATGAAGGCTTGGTATTCTCGGTTCATGGTAGTTCTCTTTGTACCAAATTGTATCTTAAGATGAAAAGTCTAGATTAAATTCTTTAGAGAAATAGTCCACGTATCTATTCGAATTGTTTGTGAATAGTAAAAGATAATGTGATTCAGAGAAAGTGTTATGTTTTCAAGTTCATGATATTTTCGCAACTTATAAAATGATTCTGAACAATTCTTGTTTTAGCATCAGAACACGGAACTCAGTTAAATGAATTTTTGGGGACAGAGTTACCGTTTTCACGGCATGACCTCCCATATCGGGTAAATGCGCCTGTTACCGACCACCCTCCAGTTTTCGGCCACCATATCGTAATACTTAATAAAATAAGCTGGTAATGAAAAATTCTTTGTCCTAATATTTTTATTGTATTCTAGGTACCTTATATTATAGTATAAAATATATTTCCGTGCTCAAATCATTCATGTACATTTTATAATTATTATATAATTGGGCCTCTGATCGATCAAGCAAATTTTGCCGTTTCCTTAAGAAAACACTAAAGATGACCAATTCAAATTATTCGTAATAATGAAAAAAAATGCATTCAAAAGTTATTGCAATTGATTCTGATTGATAATGACGGTTTACACGAATGTTTTAAGCCGTTACATTAATCATATAATTGTAAATTAATAATTTACGGTATATGTCGGCAACTGGCAGACGAATTCGATCAAAATCTAGTTTTCGAGGGGGGGGGGGGCGAAATCTGTCCGAACGTGAAATATAAATGAAAGCCAGTTTTCGACCATCTAAAATCAGCGTGGTTTTTTCGCGCGCACGGTCGGTCGGACGCCACTCACCGAACAAAAAACCACGTTTTTTCTTCTTTCTCTCGCTATATCTCGCTAAAATCAAAAAACGCCTCTCTGAAAAATGTCTATATCGATGAGAAATTTTCTGATCTTTCGATCTAGACTATTTAAAAAAATCTTATAAATGAAGTTTTCGAGATAATCGACTTTAAAGTTTTCCCAGCGATTTTCTCGGGTAAAGCGGAAAATTTCGGAAAATCTGACCTCACCATCGGAAAGCTGAGGCGATTTCCCATCGAAACCATGGGTTCGTTTTTTTCTCTAGGTGCATTTTAGTACTTTTACAGCGATTCACAAATTTAGTGATTTAGCTTAATTCTGCCGCGCCGCGCGGCACTGGGAGAGTTGACGTGAAATGCCACATATATAGAAAAAACAAATTTGATAAACAGAATTGGTTTCAATTTTAATCGAGGTGTGCTCTTCAAGTGTGAAACACTCGTGCATGTTGCTACAAGTTCACAGCAAGTATGGAACTGAAAGGTTTGAATTTTTGTGAAGATTAGTTTTTATTTTATTTTTTTAAATTCTGTACTTTACGTATGAAAAGTTTATTTTGATCATCATTCGATTTAAATTTCACTCATTTAACTTTCTCTGGATTACGTTATGAAGTGATCTCACTTCACGTAATACGACTTCATAATAAAAAGAAAAAATATTCATACATCGTGTTTTTCGGTAAAGTATCAAAAATTGATCGAATAGTATCGCGAGAACCATGAGAGGCACACGAGCAAAATACTTTTGCAACGTCGTTTACATTTTACTCGTAAGTTGGCGAAAATTCATACTAATTTTAAAATCATAAATGAAACATATATTATTTTCATCAATTCCATAGTGCAAATTTAATTATAATTGAATTAAATATTTGCAAAATTGTTACCTGCATCTGGAGCAACTATCTTCCCTTGTTAAAAAGTCGCAAAATATATGCAGGATTCTTAAAGGAATTCTACAAGACTTATGGATATGAGTACAAGGGTTCAGCAGTTAAAGGGTATCTCGAAGTTAGGGAAAATTAAAACTTTTCTGTAAATTTCTACTGAGGATTTTTTTATTAAAACTGCATAATAATTAGATCATAAAATCTGTATCAAAATATTTTATCGCAATCTTAGGAAACGTTTTTAAAAATTTTCATTTTCATACATGCTCTTATATCTCCGAATAAAGTTAAATGTACTGCTCCAGATACGGTTAAATCTTCTGCAAATATAAGATAATTAATATGAATGAAAGAATGAATTTATTATACGTAAATACAAGAGCTACTGCGTTATCAAATAAATAATTGAATTTACGTTACAACTTCATTTGCGTCAAAATTCGATTCGATAAAAAAATTTCGATAAAAAAGGGAAATAAAAACGGAGCAAAGCAAAATATCAACATAAACAACCTGTTGGCTGTGGAGTAGATTGAGAGAGTACACGAATATCGGCTGCTGCAGTGCAGCTGATCAGCTGCTATCGGGCTTTCTGCATATCGCTCTCAGACAGTCTGCAACTCGGAGCCGGCAGTCTAAGACAAACTTGGCAGCCGGACGCGATCGTCTCATATACATATCTACATATACACAATACACATGCCGAAATAGTCACGTTTCGTGTCTGTCACGCACGAGATAATAGGCATAGTACAGCATTCGGACGTGCCACGATGACAGCTCGAGTTGACACATTTCATTGAATGTTGTTATCGGACCGCGAGATTAATTTTCCCGCGTCATACGTGCGACGATTCCTCGCTAATATAAGCTGTTTTGCACTCTGATTATGTTATTATGTAAGTTTCAAGCGTGTGATTTTGCATATGATAGATTGAGCTGATTGTTTTCGTTTTCATTCGTGCAAAGTTCACGGGCTGCTCATTTTTTTGTCCAACTTCCTTGAGTGCTCGAATAATAAGCTAATTCATTTGCTATGCAGTTGAGAATCTATCACTGTTGCAACGATTAACCTATAAGCTGAAGGTTTAGTTATTAAGTGCTTTATTTAAAATTATAAGTTTAAAATTAATTGTACAATGTGAGAATAATATAAATTTGAAATCTGTAAAATAATCATTTTTTCTATTCAGATGTTGACTAGAGTACCATTTTTGAGAGCAGTCCAATCACAGTTACTGAGAAACTCTACTACAGAAGTAATAAACAATTATACAACAATGTCCAAGTTTGATTTGCCAGATCGCTTTGTTGGAAATGATAAATCTGTTTGGTATAAATTGATCTAGTACTTTATAAATCATATGTTCAGCTATTAACTAACAATATTTATCTTTGATTTAAGGGTGGAGTACATACAATTAGCACTCCAACATAAACCAGTAAATCTAGGACAAGGTTTTCCTAACTTTCATGCTCCTGAAAATGTTAGAAAAGCTTTAGCAAATGCTGCATTGAATGAAAACCCTTTGTTGAATCAATATACTAGAGGATTTGTAAGTCTGATAATTAATTTTATTGTGCAAAAAATATTTTTCCACCAGCTTTAAACTTCTTGACTTTTTTTTTGTACTTACAGGGTCATCCAAGATTAGTTAATGCGATAGCTGCTTTATATTCTAAACTTTTGTCAAGAAAACTGGATCCAACCACTGAAGTCATTGTTACAGCAGGAGCTTATGAAGCTTTGTATGCTGCAATTCAAGGTCATACTTCACCAGGTGATGAATGGATTATCATAGAACCATTTTTTGATTGCTATGAACCAATGATAAGAACAGCTGGAGGAATTCCTAAATTTATTCCTTTAAAACCAGTAAATTACTTAAATTTAAAATTACTGATTTTGATAAACTGTTATTAATGTATGTTAACTTCTTTAGACAAAGAATAGTGGAATAATTAGTTCTGGGGATTGGATATATGACAAAAATGAAATGGCTAGTCTTTTTAATGAAAAAACAAAAGGTATTATTTTAAATACACCTCATAATCCCTTGGGTAAAGTATTTACTCACGATGAGCTTAGTTTTATTGCTGATCTTGCGAAGAAATGGAATACTCTGGTAGTATCTGATGAAGTATACGAATGGATGGTTTATAAACCCCATGAACATATAAGGATAGGTAAGTAAAACAGTTTTTAAAATGATTTTAGTTTAAAATTTTAAATTTAAAAATTGTCATTTGCAGCTACACTTCCTGACATGTATGAAAGGACCATTACTATTGGGTCCGCTGGTAAAACCTTTAGTGTAACAGGTTGGAAAATAGGCTGGGCTTATGGACCAGCAAATTTATTGAAAAATTTGCAAGTAGTTCATCAAAATTCTCTCTACACTTGTTCAACACCGATACAGGTAATACATCAAATCAAACTCATTGTTATAAATATTATTAGTTAAAATAAATGACTACATAATCATAATGATATATTCAAAGGAAGCAGTAGCTGTTGGATTTGAAGAAGAGTTAAAAAAATTCGGTCAGCCAGATTGTTATTTCACTAGTCTTGCCGAAGAATTATTAGAAAAACGTGATTTTATGGCGAAATTTTTGGCGGATGTCGGCATGGCACCGACGATACCAGAAGCTGGATACTTCATGGTAGCCAATTGGACACAGTTAGAAAAAAATGTGAATTTAGATGAGGAGCAAGATGAATATAAAGATTATAGATTCACAAAATGGATGACGAAAAACGTCGGACTTCAAGGCATTCCTCCCTCCGCATTTTACAGTAAAGAGCACAAGCATTTAGGAGAAGACAACGTTCGTTACTGCTTCATTAAGGTAATTGTAAATTAGCGATTCATTTGAAGTTACATAGAACGAAAATTTATATTCGTTTTGTTATAGTCGGATGATGTTCTTCAAAAAGCGGCTCAAATCTTGATCGACTGGAGTCAGAAATCATCAGATAAAAAAGTCGAGAAAAATTGAGATTTCTCGTGGGTGCTTATATTGAGTTTTTTATGCTCGATGATATGCAAGTTAAAGAAGAAGAATTTAATATTTCAAAATTTTTAATTTTTATAATCAAATTTCATATATTGCAATGTGATAGGAGAAAATCTATTAACATTCTTATTGTGATAAAGACGAATATTATATTTTTACTATCTTCAAAACGTTTTTCTTTTTATCAAAGCAAATTCCAATTTCTTTTCATGAGATAAGATCATAAAACATAGCACTACACTTTCCTTTATCATTCTTCTCTTTCTTATTACAACGAACTTTTGTTGATAACAAATTATTTTTTATCTATTTGATTATTACACTTGTTCATTTTCAAAGAAAATAAATGTTCCTCTAAAGTATGATGCGCAGCTTTCGTTGCAGTTCCGTAAGTCTTGCCAATGCTGATATAAATAAGAAACTTTGATTGTACATAAAATCGTTTTGATGAATATTGTGAATTGAATGAGATTAATATTACCTGAATTGAAAACCTGGCACGTGACCCGTGTATTTTGGCAGAATCGGAGTGTTCTTTTGATAAATTTCAACTGCCAAAGGTTTTTGAAACTTATCCTGTCTCTTATCGGCAATTGTCAAAGGTTTCCAATCGGTCATTTTTTTATGTAAATACTTGGACGTGAAATCTCTCAGACCATCGCTCGACATTTGCTTGTGAGTTTTGCCGAAGTGAGCCCAACGATTGGGAATGTGACCGGTGAAGCCTACATCGTTAAAAAAAATTGCAACAGTTTTAAAATATTTTTCCACATTACAACGTAGAGTTCTGCCCAATCCAGTATTTGATACTCTTACCCGATACGAAATATTTTTCCGGATTCATGGTGTTCATGAAATAAGGCGAGGTGCAGCACTCCTTCGGTTCGACGTACTTTTCGTTCACGTACTCGTATCGCGACTTACCGGCGCGATCAGGCCTGACGGTGATCACCGGCATCACGTACTTGCTCGGAGTCAACTATTACAAGACCAGACAAATATTAAATTCTCAAGCTCGACACAATTACGTGGAGGTGACGCGAGTTAATTTACCAAAGTCTCTTGCATGGGGTTTGGGCATTTGCAAAAAGTTTGCAGCTCGATGACTTTTCGCAGATCGTCGCGCTTCGCCTTCTCTTTGAGAAACTTTCGCTTGAAACTCGCTATGCCCTTGATCGCTTGTACTTCCTTGGGCCGATCGCGCAATTGTCCCAGGCATGGTATGTGCCCTAAATAATCATAAAAAACATGTGTGAAGTTGAAAAGTATATTTTTTGAATACGTAACGATGGCTTGCCTTTATAAGAGGACAGTACAGGATAATTGTAGACAGCTTCGCTTCTGCCTAGTTTTGATTTTGCCATCTGAATATCGGCTTTTTTTGGTCTTCTCACCTTTTTTCATAATTTGTTTATTTATTCTTGTAACCGTACTTTTAATTGAAGTATAATAACAACATGTCATTGAATTCACCTCAAAATTTTTCGACCTGTCAGACAGAGCAAGCTTTTCAGCATGTCTGGTATCGGGATCGAGAAGCAGATCATGACTCAGATGCCCAAAAGTCTTGCCGCAAATGAAACGATGTTGAGGGCAATAGCCCGTGTAACTGTTTACATTTATCGAAAAAAGTGATTAGTTTTAGAAAATTAAGGTTAATTTTTTTTGGAACAAGTTGCATAATTTAGAAAATACAAATAAATCAACGAACCCTGGTATATGATAAGGTTCTCGTTGCTGAAGAATTTCTACGCCAACCATTTTTTTACGGCAATTTTTTTCTTCACTAAGAATTTTGAAATGTTCACTAAAAATTTAGCCGTGCATTGTCAAAATATTACATACAGTATATCTTACAAAATGAAGTTATCCGTGAATTTTGGTGGATTTGCAGAAGTGTTCGTGGGTCACGTCACGATGATTCCTTTCTACCGTAAACTCATTTGAACGTTTTTCAACTTCGTCAAGCTCGCAAGAATTCAATTTAACGCATGTTTGATTCTTTGCAAAAATTTCGCTTCGAATAATATGTACACGCCAGTTAAGTTGTCAAGTTCCCGCTTCATGCAGTAAAAAATGTTTAAAATCTTTGCGTGACATTCATAAGTGAAATATGAATAAAATACGATGCACCGATCCAATGAAAGCTTCGGGTAAAGGGAAACTCTTCTTTAGTCGCGCCGGATGAGCTATATTGCATCCACTGTGCAGTGTCGATATTTCAGGGAACGCGTAAACTGATTCTTACTTTCCGAGTATATTTATTGATCTTTCTATTTTATTTCATACTTTTTCCTTAATAAAAATGTTCATGAATTTTTATGATTATCTTTAATTAAACTATTACATCAATATTTACCAGCTTACATCCAGCTTATAATCGGCTTTTATTTCACGCCGACAGTGCAGGTATAAAAAAAGTTGTTAATTGAAAGAATCAAACGCAAAAAAAGAGGTTTCCCCAAAAGTCAATGGGCAAAATTTTAATTAAAAACTTTTGGGGTTTAACTTGTTGAAAAAATGTTCACACAGCAGCTTCATTCTTGTTCTTTCCGCGCGAGGTCACTATATACTACTACACTACATCTGATTATATATCTGCGTTTTTCAGAAGTTTTCCATTAAGCCGCTTATGCAACACGCTAAATTTTTTTATGATTCGCGCTATAGTGGAGCTTTGAAAATAAAAATTCGCTAAAATTCGAGTCCTTAGTAGATCGTCGGAAAATGAACATAGACGGGAAAGGGTTGTAATATACATAAATAAATGTAAGCTTTTGTGTCATAAGGATCGGTATTTCTTTTATTTACAAGAGTAAAATATCATTATGTACAAGATAGCATCGAGGAAAGTCATGTTTTTAGAAAACACGCCATTTTTGTTTTCTTTTAATTTCGTTTTTCATTTTCTTATAGATCGAGAATCGTTTTTTGCAGGAGTAGGTGGAAGGGGGTGGGAATGAAACTTTTTTTCTTTCTTGTGGGACTTTGGGGACGAGAAGGGTACACAATTCCTTTGGATTGTTTCTTAAGACACTATACAATCATATTTTTTTGTCGTTCAAACGCAAATGAAAAAATAACGAAAATATTACATGTCACATATAGAGCACCATTTTCACGATTACATTAATCACGAGCAGATTCGCATCTCAGATCTCATTACATTCCGATTCACATCCTACTTATGATCTATAATATAATCTCTATTATTTATAACGTGTGTCATCTCTATGCATAATTTGTATAATAACTGTGGCTTTTCGCTCGAGTCCACGATGCCGTTATAATTTTGTTTTCTATTTCTTTACCCGCCTCTCGTCGTCGTCTCGTAAAAGTAATTTTTTTTACCTATTTATATCATTTATATAATTTGTTTAGCGCATTTATACACGTACCGGCAGTCGAGCAAATATTACACGCATCTCGGCATCCAACATCATTAAAATCGAACAAACAATCGCTCTTTGTATTCAGTACACTCGCTCCCTTACACATCATATCTCTATAATTAATCATCGTAGTAAATATACCCCTTGTACTGGTAAGGTTTTGCCACCGATTCGATCATTCGATCATCGAGTTGTATGTATAGAAATTCGTTTTAGTAACTGCCGTACTCTCTCGTCGTTAATGATGCGTTGCACATTTGAAACGAGCTAGTGCGAGCGCAAATATATCGATGACGATGTTTTTGAGTTTCGTTTATTTATCAGCGGCGCGCTCGGTACATTGGAGATATATTATATGCAAGTAATGCAATCCCATACAGACGCACATGCTTTTATTTACACAAATTTTCCCTATCGAACAATCAACATACAGCTATACGTGTTGTAAATTGTTGCGTGTTTGTGTTGCTATGTGTGTGTATATATGTAATATCAACATCGAGAGCACCTCTGGCGTATGTATGATCATGTATAATGAACGCTTTGCACGCGTCTAATTACGTAATCTTTGTCGCAATTGCGTACAGACGCATAGGTACACGTGTACACCGACACAAGCGTAGACGACACACATGCACACCGTCACTCGCACTCCAGTTTCTTTGCGATTATTTTCTTTTCTCGCCGTTCGAGCGTAAAATCGTGAAAAAGGGGGCACACTGACCAGAAGAAAGAAGGAAGGAAGGAAGAAAAAAAATCTCAAGAGAGAGAGAGAGAAGCTTCGTACGTTGGAGGAAGGTAACTGAAAGTAGTGCATGTATGGCTTTTGCCTTGCTTACGTGTGAGCGAAAGAGAAGTTGAAAAAAGCTTTCCGAAGAGAGAAGAGAGACAGAATGAGAGGCAAAAAGTGTCCATCAAAAGTCACGTTTTGTTCGATTCTTTGCAACTGCAGCCGTTTTTTTTCGATTTAAAGCCACTCATTCTCTCTTCCTATGTACCTTTCTTTCTCTTTATTTTTTTTCTGCATATACAGGTATAGATAAACTCGTCTTCGTCCCGTGGCTTACTGCTTCTGCTGTTGAATCGTCAAGAGTCGAGCCATGCGCTATAAATGGATGAACGATTTTTCGTGCTTTTCATCCTTCTTACTCTCGATTTGGAAGTTGTGCCACTATAATTACAGTATATATACTGCGTACGCAGTGAGAGAGAGAGAGAGAGAAAGGAAAAGAAAATCGAATGAAGATATGAATTGGATATTTGCTTGCAGAGCTTCAGCAACGGTGCATAGATGCAATTTGCTCAAAGGGCTTGCAAGCTTCTGTACACAAAATTTATTTATCTTTCGCCCTCACGCGCTCGCTGCAGTGTATACGAAAAGCTCTAATCCGTTTACGCCTTTCTATGCGCGGCTGGCCTTTTTTCCATGCCTCTCCAGCTCACCCTCGACTCGCTTTATATATATATTTTTGAGTGCGACGTGAATGCATGCGTGCGATGTCTGCGTCTTTAATGAGCTTCCCCATTCTTCGGTGCCTATTATGTTTGGTAAAATCTTTCTCGGTATACAAACGCCTTATCTGCCTCTCTTATATGCACCTGCTTCTGCATGCGCGTATGTGTGTGTATGTGTATGTATGTGTGTGTGGGTGTATAATATAGCGTGCAAAAATTCACTGCGTATAAACGTATAGTATGGTCGTTTTTCCCCTCCCTTCGTACTCTTCATCTTTTTTTATTGTATACATTTATGTTATATATACGTAGGACTATTATACAGCCTCGCGGCGCTCGCTCGCTCGCTCGCGTTATCTTTCGCTCGCATAACTTGATCGCGCGCGCGACTCACGAGCTCGAGAGGGAACGTGCTTGCATTCGCGTCTGCGGCACTTGTATCCTCGCACCCACGCACTTTTAGATAATATGCACACGCGTTTCGTCGCGCCCCGTATACGTACCAACCTGTATAGACCGATGTGTATCAGCGACGCGCGAAGCACGTGTGTGCATGCATGATTGAGAATCGCTGCAGAGTCATATAGTCCCGCGCATGAGCCGTATCAAATTATACGACGAGTGCCTGTACGCCTCGTCGCAGCTCCTCTTCTATTCTTCTTCTTCGGCGTTGAAACGCTGCTCCTCTTTCATCGCCCGTACTTGCGCTATATCTGTCTGTGTGGGTGCGTATGCAATGTCAATTTTGTCCGTTTTAACGCAGTCCAGGGACCGGCAGATCGACCGCACATTATCTCAGCTGACCGAGGAAGAAGGCTAGGCTCAGCAGGATCGTCCGCGAAGTCGGCCAGCCCGCCGCCGTGTTGCCGTGCTGCATCGCCGCTGGATGCTCGCCTGCGAAGCGAAAAAAACTCAATTACAAAACAGAAAAATACTCTGTCTATTTTATATCGTATACACGCGGACATCGTTCTTTTGCTTTATTTTTCCTATCTCTATTCAATTTTCCCTTTTATTTTTTTTGCTTGTGCACCGTATGCCGTTGTTTTTCTTTTTTTTTATCTTTTTATACACAGGACAATGCCACAGCGAGATAGACTCGTGGGCTCCCGCGTGCGTGTATAAAATGCGCCGCCTGCATCACAATGACTCGAGTCGAGAGATTTAACGACGCGGTAATGGCATTAACACGCGCGCGAGCTACCAAAGGATTTCTCCCTCTTTCGCTCACTTTGGACGTATCGTACGCCCGGTTAGACCCCTTGTAATGCCCTGTGTGAGAAATTGTCTTATGGTCCCTTGCGCGCAACTGCTGCCACTGCTGCTCGGCTCTTTTTCTATAGATATATCCTAGTATACGTTCGCGGATTTATGTGCGCCAGCTGTAATCTCGAAAGACTGCGTACGTTTCGGAGATAACAAAAGCGCACAGGTGCTGCGAGCTTCAAGATTACCGGTATCTACGAATATTTTTTTTCCTTCCCATTTTACTTCTGTATTTCTCTATGCGCTCGCTCTGTTTCTGTTTTTCTTTCGTGAGCACATCGCGATGTACGTTACAAACGGAGCTCGCTTTTGAGATTTTTAAACATAATAATGCACGCGTTCGGTCTGCGACTCAGTTTTCTCAAACAATTACTTCTCTTTTCTTTTTTCTCCGTCTCTGTTTTGCGGATCGCGTGTACATCGAGGTAAAATTGTTACGCGGCTGCGCTCCGAGTTGAAAACGTTATAACAATAACAGCAACAAAAAAGTGCAAGAGAGAAAAGCAAAATAAGGCAGAAACGCGAGTACACATGAGCGAGGCGCACATAATACTTATAAATTATTCGCTGAAAGTTTTTTCAAGTGTGATTATCTCTGCGCTCGTCCACGCTTGAGGTATATCCTTATGCGCGCGCGGAGGTCGTTGGGCCGGGTGCCCATGCGCGCGGGCGCACAGCGAGTACGGAGCCGGGCCTCGCGCGCGCTTTTTAGCCCTATTAACTTTAACGAGCAATTTCTCAACTTTTCCCCGGCTAGCAGAAACGCGTATACTTTTTTTTCGCCGGGTATATACTACTCCAGTTTTGCTGCGCGGCAAAGTCTACTTTTGAAACAAAACTATATTCTCGTATACGTCGTGGTATATATTATACGAGGTATATTAGATTGTCAGATATTCAATGGCCTTCTTGTCTCACTCCTTTCTACATTTGGTATTAGAAAAATGTTCATACTGATATGTACGATTCATGAAAAAAAATATGAGATAGCATGGTATGGGGAGCTTAAAGCAAGTCCGAAAATATAACCCGTGAAAATCTGTATACACGAGTTGATTTTGGTCTCGGCTTTGGAGCAAGGGATGGCGCAACACGAAGATGATTTGCAGCTGTATTAGCATTACAAATATGTATCGAAGCTATGTAATAATAATCTGAAGCAGTTGGCCGCAGTGAAAGGCTCGTCCATGGATAATAGCGCGCATGCAAGCCCGTGACGGCCGCTATACGTCCATGAATGCACTTTGAGCGGTATGTATACATTCAGGCTTTGCGAGCGATCGCAAATTGCCGTCTAATGATGATACACCTGTGCTCTCGAGTTTCACGCGCGTATACGTCCGAGCAGAAGAAATAATACAAGGTTATCGTGAATTCGGCCCACTGCCAGAGAATCTATGGGCAGGCTTAGGCGCTCATGCACGAAGGGGTATGGCAGGTAGGATGTGCACACAGCCATGTTGGAGTGTTATACGCATAAAGGAACTTTCCGTAACTAAGCGTCTTCTCGAAATGCTCGTATTCGCTTTGTACGCGGTGGGCCATTTGCCAGCTGAGGTGGTGTATCGAATCCGCCATATCTGCGTCATCGTCATCATCGAGTCTTGGCTATTTGCCTTGTTTTTCCTTTCTCGTCGTCTACTTTTTATCCTTTTCTTCTCTCTTTCTTTTCTCTCCGAAGGCAACCGAATACGGGCAAATTTCAAAAATGTATCCTTACCTACTCATTCAAGTTTGCTTCGAGAGCTTTGAATAATTTTCCAAGGTACTCGCTCGAGCTCGTTCGTATTATCTAAACACGATGCGCTGCAGCTCGCACATTATGTTGCGTCGATGAAGCGATAAGCGGCCGCGCGATATGCATAAATGAAGCAGCTCTAGCCATGGGTTTATGTTGGTTGCGTAGCCATGAAGTAGCTTAGAACTCGCTCAGTGGCGCTTATTCCTTTTCAGGATCGGTCAGCAAAGCAGCTGGCAGGACAGGTAGCCGTTCGAGGTACGAGTCAGACGCGGTAAGCGTGGAACGCGCGAGGGAGAGATAAAGCCACCGCAGCAGCCGCATCATCGTCGGGGGCTGCCGGCTCTGCGGCCAGTCGCCTCCCCTACGTTATAGCCCGACGACTCATCTATCTATATATACGACGGAGTAATCAAGCTGTATACTACCGCGGCGCGGGTGCTATAGTGACTGATGCTTCGCGACGAGGCTAAAGTCATTGGTTCGCAGCCGATGTATATCTATAGTCGCTAGTTGCCGTGTCGCTGCTGTTGCTGACTAGCCGTGCTGCATAGAGCGGAAAAGGCGGGACTAATTGCCGAGTCTACTGCTGGCGCTGCTTCGAGTTGCAGACTCCGCAGTCTATATACAGCTTAGTACGCGACATATCTATAGCTCGGAGTCTCTTTCGGCGCGTCGCAGCCGAGGCCTCGCTCGATGCTCTCGAGGCTTAAGCTGTGCAAGCACCGGTAAAGAGCATCAACCTACAATACGTATATGTATATACGTAAATATATATAACACACGCTGAGCTAGACGCACGCGTACATATGCACACGTACTACACACGTATATCGTCCTGCTGACCGTATAGCTGCGCCGCGATATCGCTCCTGCAATTCGTCTTTCTCAACTGCTTCTTGCGAGCCCGAGCTTTATTGCTGGAGAGAGAGAGAGAGAGAGAGACTATAGACAAAAGTACGAGAGCGATGCTAATGTTATACCTGTCCGACCTCGAGGCGTACCTACACCCATGCCCATGAGCCATTTCACAATTTCAAAATAGTAAGGTAGAAAAATGCGTGAAAAATCAAAAGTTGAATATAGGTATTTGCGTCTTTGACCGTGTGCATCGTACAGTGGTAGTTCTAAAGCTCGGCGACTCGACGTCCACGCTAGCGACTAGCCTCACTAGACGGTAAAATTTATGCTCGCGCTCGAATATTATTGCGTGCGCCGCCCTAATGCCTTGCTCGACAGCTGTACCATGTCGAAATTTTAAATTACTCCTATCACACGAGCACCTACTAACCGAAATACATTCGAAGAGGGCTCGTAAAGTGGCTCTAGCTGGCACAACAGCTTTCAACGGGTCAACAGTTTATATTCGCTGAGCTTTGGCTTTCGGGAAATCCGGAAAAATGCCCCATACATAATTGAATCTAACTGTATATCGCAAGCTACATACACGTACGCTCTATATCATTTCACATTTTTGGGCTCGATTTTCACTCTAGCGCACGCCATCAAAATCAAAACGTAATTACCGCGCGTTACGTATTGTTGTATCGATGCTGTAATTCCTGCTCGACTCGCGGCTTTATTGGCTGCTTGGAGGCTGGAGCTCGAATCGCGCCAGCTCCGGGGGCCGTCGCGCGTATACACGGCAACAACCCGAGGCTCGTTGCATAAAACGCGAAAACTCGAACAAACAAGCTGCGCCAGCATCGTGTACACGTACACACGCGAAAAGGCTCGGAAACACCGAAAGCTCATTAAGCTCGGGGATAATGACGTTGATGATGGACTCTTCATATTATGTTATGTTATGTTTTCCATATGGGCTCGTGTGTCTACACATATATACACGAGCTCGGCAAAGCTCGTCATCTTTAGCTACAATAGGCGAGCTCGCGCGCGAGCATGAAATGTATATAGCGCACACGTACACACAGTCGGCCCATTGACACGATTTCCCTGCGCTCCGCCTATACATGTGAACAGACAAACACGCGGTGTTTCGTGCACGTGCGGGTAGTTGACTTTTTCCCCTTTCTTTCTTTCGTACCCCCCGCTGTGCCTTCGTCCTCTCTCTTTCTTTCGCGCTCTCTCCCTCATGGTGCGAGGAAAAAAGCTCGTTACTCGTCGCAGCCCCGCGCGTACTGGCCCCGACATTTTCGCATTGTTTGCGACTATTACCGAGTTTTAAAGGCGCGAGTAGAGCTTGCGCAGCGAGAACAAAATAAAAGAAGACGGCACGCGTGAGCTATCTCTCTCTCTCTCTCGCTGTTCTCTGCCACGACTATACCACTCGTTGTTGGTGTGCATACACGTAAACGCGTTTATAAAAGATTTTTCAATCTCCGTATCGCGTATATAAGGATAAAATTGCTTGGCGATTAATTAAAAAATGATAATACGCGTTTTTAATGCAAAAATTGTTTCAGCGGCAGAAGCAGAGCGTGCTCAATGTGGCTCCGCGTGGATCGTTAAGCTATCGCGCTTATATATACCGTATACACCGCAAGCTCGCACCAATATGAGAAAAAGTAGTGGTAGCCGCGCGCGCCGGTATAAGTTTCCCGACTTATGCGAGCTTATTTTATGTTTTTTTTTCTTTCACCCTCTATCTCTCAGCCCTCGCGCGAGCGTCCATGGAATATAATTTTTGATGCTAGCCAGCCCATACTCGCAAGCTCGCAAGCTCGGGTCGGCCTGCTGCTGCTGCTGGCCTGTACCGCGCGTTGTGGCGAGAAAACTCAAGGACGCATAAAATGTTAATAGTATGCAAATAGAGCTTGCGCGCACCAGAGCGAGCCTATACTCTGTGTATATATATAAGATCTGCTCGCGCATAATTAATATTAAAAGTTTGCTCCTTGCAAGGACTCGAGACTCGCGCGACGTGCGATCCCGACGCACTACCCAACGTGTGTATACTGCATAGCGTCGCGTTCAAGCCGTTATACGATAAAACTAAACGTCCAAAATTGCCCCGAGGCTAATTTTAAACTAAGGCCGGAGTATTATGTGAAAGAAAAAAGGGGCAAGAGTTTATAAGTTTCTAAGCTGGAATTTTGGCTCTAATATACGTACTCACGAGTTTTTGTGTATATTAATGTACCTGCACACACACAAACGAGCTTCGAGTCTTGAATTCAGTTTCTCACGAATGCGACGAGAGCTCGTTAAAAATTAGTGCACGCGAATATATATTTCACGTTATGGACGAACAATCCTCGTTTTGCTCAGTGGATTATAACTGCGCGCGGAGAAAGAGAGAGAGAGAAAAAAAATCCTAGGATTATCATTCGCGGGCGAAACGCGCGCTTGTCACCGTGAATATATATGCATACGAGAATGCGCCCCGCTCCGCGCAACGATAAGCTCCGCAGCGAGAGAGAGAGAGACTCGATTTTTCATCCGAAAGATTAAACGCAAACGTAATAATTGAAAGATGATTGATGATGAAAATACAGTGGGACGATGTTTGTCACGCGCGATGCGAAATCTCGCGTAATCGTAATTACGTTTATGACCTACATACGCGCTATATGGCCTGCGTGTGTGATGTATATGTATAAAATTACAGACGAGCGTTAAAATCATAATGATGAAACGGGGGGAGGGGATCATAATAGCCGCGGCACGCCTCGAAGGATAAATTGAAGCTTCGCACGCGCGGCTTCGAGTCATCGTTTGCTTATACACGCGCGTACACTAGAGGCAAATGTGGCTCGCGAGCGTAAATATCGGACGTTATATATGTGCATCGAGTCAAACAAAGTGGACGTGAGTCGGAGCTGCATATACGACACAGAGAACGAGAATCTGTGTATATAATCACAAATCGGGAGAGCAACTTTTCCACATATATTTATACGTGCAAATATATGATGCGCAAATCAAGCACAGAGCTATTTATTTACACGAATATATACGTGCTTGACCTCATTCGTGCGTACAAAGCTGTGATACGACTAAACGTCTCATAAAGGTTTTTACGTTTTTTTTTCTTTTTCATTAAAAACTTGAATAAGATTTTCAGGTGCATGCTCGCGTTAGTTCGACAACTCTTTTTTGCGCGCAAAAAAATTTTTCATTCCAATAAATAAAATCACTTTGGATATTGATCAATTTAATGTGCCCGCAGTTGCAAGCAAGCTTTTGTATTTAAATCGCGGCACACACATATGAGCCCAGCTCACGCATGTTTGGCTATTTCAATGTCACTGCGCGCGAGCACGAGTAAAATTAAATATAAGCGCGTGGAGAGAGAGGGATTTTAGCCATGTCATACAATGCTGGAATTTATCGACTTTTCTTTCTGCCTCAGTTTTGCATAATATTATATATAATGACACAAATCCGAGCTTTTGTTTGTCCGAACTAAAAGAGAGTCCACCAAATGGGCCGTTTTCTCTCTTTCTTTCTCTCCATGCGCATGAGTGAGATTTATGTATTTTGATTGTATAAGTATGAATTTATTAATATTTTATGATGATGGCTCGCGATAATGTTGATGAATTGTTCGGAAGCCCTGTGCTCGCGCGCGTACCTCGGCTAAAACTCGAGCACTCACTTAATCATTGTTATTTAATATAATCCATAATATTTTCTCTTCGACAGCTTTTTATACGTACGTCGGGGTAGAGCTACCGCTCGAACGTCACTTCTGACAGTTTAGTTCTTTCAATTTTTGACTGCAATGATTATGACAAGCGAGTTTTATGTGCGGATAATAAACGCTGCCTCGCTCGCTTTTCGCCTAATTAACATATACTCGTTTGTATACTTTTTACTTTTTAGTATCATACGAGCGAAAGCCAGCCAACTTTTCAATTCATAAAAATGTAAATTTGAAGTATGTTATACGTAATGTACATGTGTCACGTGCGAAAAAATGCGACACAAGTAAAAAGCGTTAAACATACTATTACCGCAAAAAATCTGTTCGTATTATTTGTTCAGTATATGTAATTTAAATTTTGATATAAACATTGTAAGCTTTTTTTCTATTATCTTACACGTAGACCGAGAAAATAAATATATATTGCATATTCGGTCTACGCGTGTGATCTACTCCAGGAGCTTTTACATTCAAATCCGAAATTGATTAACAAATATGCGTTATCTTCCATTTCGGGCCATTTGAATTTCAAAACGTTTGCGCTGCGCAGCGATGAATAATAAACATTATATACTGTTCCGATTTGACGCGTCACGTGCATTATCGTCCTCGTCTATATAAAGCGCGAGAACAGCCGAAATCAATATTAAAAACAGAGAACTAGAGTAATCGATCCTGTAGCAGGTCGGTGAAATTGCGCGATAGGTATTATAGTATATATGCCATTATTACAATATGAAATAAAGCCTACCTCTCAATCGCGTATCGAATCATCGAGCTTCATCGATTTTTCTTCTTTTTTTTCTTATTTTTTTCGGTGTAATTAGCGAAAAATTTAATTACTGCTCGGTGCAGAGAAACTTTCCGCGTGTCTATATAGTTTTTTGTGCGGATTTCGTATAGACACATCGGGGGCCGTGCATTTTCCACTGCATTATTACTTTTTGAACTTTATACACTCTGGCTTACAATATACGCGCGTGAGTAAGCCATGCTGCGCAATGCTTGGGAGCTGCCATATAATATTATTTTACGATAGATCAAAATTCTATGAAAAAAAAATTTGTCAAAGTTTTCAAATTAACGCAACCAATAAGTCAAATTCTTGAGTAGACAATAAACGCGCGTTGATTTCGAGCGTAAAGTGAAAATTCACCTCCAAAATTGATATGCATCAAGCTCTTCTCTCGGGGTAAGTTTCGTGAAAATGTAAATACATTTACCGTGTATATATATACGTAGGTAGCTACGCGCGCATTCGGAAATTCATTTGTCTAACGGCATTTCAATGAGAGCTGCTGCGCAGCATCGCAGACCAGAAGGAGTGCGTGTGTGTTTGTGTGTGTCTGTGTGTGTGCTACGCGCGAAGAGCAGACTCGAGGAGTAGAGGTTGCGCAAGCTGAAAGTAGCACACACACACACACACACGCACGACTTTATACCACTAGATGAATAGACTCGTATTTATTTTTACGCTCGTACGTGCATCAGGTTAATCACGTATTGACGTGAGTGTACACAGACACACATGAATAATTACATTGATAAGGTTTGCAGAAAATTTCAATTTAATTAAAAAATCACATTAGATTTGCAGGGCGCATGAAATTTTTTTTTACAATAATGTCGTATAAATGATCTATTGAAAAATAAGATACTATTGTTTGTAGAATTTTAAATTTAATAAAGTTATTTTAAGCGTGTAAAAAAAAAGTTACAATAGCAAACCCTCTTTTTATGTAACAAGAGAATGATATAAACGTGAATATTTGTGTTTTAGGAATGCTTAATAATAGTTTTAAGTCGCTAAGCAAGTACGATAAAAATTTTTTCAATGCCTATGCTTACAATATTGATTTAAAATCCATTTTATTTTATACCGAGAGCATGAAGGGTAAAAAGTAAATTTGTCACTTTTATAACGCTTACTAAAATTTTTCATAAGGTATTTCAAGTACCGGATTTATCAAGGAATTTTGTTATTTTGTAAAAAAGCTCGACGATAACGAAACATTGTCAAATATTGAAGTCTCGTATCGAAATAAATGAAGATCAAAAATGTCGATGGAAAAAAAGAAAAACTCGACTTATTATTGTCATGGAGTATGCATAGTTTGCAATATCTGCGTAAAAAGAAGAAGAACGGATAAAAAGCAAAATATTGAATCTCGTATGAGCACCCCCGTAGAGTAAAACTTTTCACGCTTTTTTCGAAAAAAAGAAGAAAATTTTTTTGGTCATTGAAATTTTTTTGAGGAAAAGTATGAAATTTTTAGATTTCTTTTCTTTTTAGGAAAATAAAACAAAATAGAACAAGAAGACTCGAAAAAATATAACCATTTAGATTCAAAATTTCATTACATCAAAAGCTGATTTTTATTAAAAGGTTTACAGGGGGCAAAAAATCGAATAAGTTTTCATTCCATTTCTAAATATATATGTGTATTTAAAAAAAAATGTCTTTACCCATCGTATTATTCAGAGCAAACCAATTAAGCTAGAACCTTCAGGTGGTATACTCTCCTTCGAAATATTACTGATTACGGTCGCAACCTCGGGTGAGGTGGAAAGATGAAGGAAAATCTTTTTTAAAAATTAAATAAAATTTTTTTTTGATTCTAAACCTTCTATATATAAGCCTTCAATGTAAGTAAAGTTCAAACAGAGTCCACGGAAAAGTGAGCTTTTCAATAAACATTTCATTTAGCAATTTTCACCAACTATTCTTTTCTTAAAACCTACTCAGAAGTCTGGAAATGATGAAAACTTAAGGTTTCGCAAGTATTCCAGAGAACTATAAACCGTTTGAATTTCAAAAAATTGTTAGGTAGAATTTCCATTCTCAGACTACTGTGTAGAGCTTGTAATATAATATGGTAAGAACGAAACCCCCTTGATCATATCAATATAATTGAATAGTCTATGAAAAAATAAAGAAAATTTATAAATCAATCCAGCCGATGATAATTAAAGCGATATAAAGGGCGAATGCTTACCATTGATAACGTGAACGTTGACACTGGCCCTCTTCGCAGCCGTCGGTACGCAACTGTAGTTCCCGCTATCTGACGATCTTATTCGATTTATTTTTAATCTAAAAGAAAACGATGTAAGGTGAAATAAGTTAAAAACAAATTTTCAGGCCCTTGATTACGCCATGAATGTATCATATGTATCATACCTCGACGTGAGTGCGTCGCTCCACTCGGTTTCAACCATGATGCGCGGCTCGGTCTCGATGTCGTTGTCGGGCAGTATCGAGGTCGTGACCGGACTGTCGCCGCGATACCAGTTGACGGTGCCGAGATTGTGTGGTCCCTGTGACATGACGCAGGTGAGGGTCAGCGAACTGCCGGTCTTCACGATGATGTCCGCCGCCCCCGTTATTCTCGCTCGGGCCTCTGCAATACATAACGACGTCTTTTAAATCAGGATTTATATATGCACACCAAGTTATAGATGTATACTCTCATATCGTGGAATAGCTATAGCAGCTCTTGGAAAGCAAGTGCGCGAGATACGCAGCTGCATACGTAGATATTACAGGTTTGCGAGAGCCAACGGGGATATCGAAATCTGGCAGGCGCTCCAGCTGTGTACAACGCACTGCGCCAGCGGCAGCTTATATATATCGCTAGGATAACAGCCTGGATTTGGTTCGTGCACGCACACATACGGACGAAGACTGCGCGAGGCAAAGGAGTTACTCCTGTTACTACTATAACTGCATTTACATCTCAGGATATATATATATAATATTGATACAAGATATAATATAGGGCCCCGAGCGAGAAGATTCCCAGCTCTCCATCTTTTTGAACCGATAAAATCGAAATTCGAACGCGATAAAATGAAGAGATTGAAACCTTTAAAACATATAATTTTATCGGAATTAATGTCGACGATCATATACGATTATTCGAATTTTCGTATGTATCATAAAAGATCCCTCCGCGAAGTTGAGGATTTCATAAGCTATTTGAAGTTTATTGTTCAAATTCAACCATACCTATGCAGTGCAACTTACTATACTCGAGAGCAAGGGGGCTGACTGAGGGGAAAACAGCCATGAGTGGCACTTATAGGGCTCAACGCTATTGTAATGTTATGTCACGTGGCCATGTTATGAGGAAAGTCATAAATACAGCAGAAGCGCACCTCGAGTGTATAATATTCATTACGAAATCAAGCATTGTAAAATAGTCTTGCTTATAAGGACAAGATACTTCTTGTGTACCTTTATGCTCCTCGCTGGCGCAACTTGGAAACTCTATAACGCGACGCGTGATTATGCTGTTATAAGTTTCTCCAATACTTCGTCGTGATTATTAAAGATTCTCCCGAAGGTTGCGCAGTTGCGGCACGTCTTGTTAAAAGCCCCAATCGATCGAGAAATTTTAAAATATTCCTATCTTTGCGTGCGATAAGCCTGTTTAATTATAGAGAAAAGGAAACGTTTGTCGTTGAGTGTCAAGGCGTGTAACACAAAAAAATATGCACCCAGATAAATTGCGTCAGCTCTTGTTTAAAATAAATAAAGAGGTAGCACGCGACGAAGACAACGATGCCACCGTAAAGCTAGGGCGCGTAATAAAAGGGCTCTTGCGCGTAGTATAAAAAAAAATAAAGAAGAAAGAAAGAGAGCAAAGAGAAAAATCTCGCGCTTCGTATACGAGTGCGCGTCGGCTTTAAAACTCTTCATTCATATATGGCCGACTCTCTATGAAATCGAAGGGTCAATTAGTATATTTTATATTTTTGAAGTTAACTGACAAAGCACCGTGGTGAAGCCAAGGCTGATAATCGTGTAACCTGAGACTTTCCAGTATTCACATTTTACGTGCAAATACAATTTTTTGTGAATCCCCAGCCTAAAGTAATATTTTGAATAAATTGTTTTTTCTTTTTTCATGATGAATGTATTGTTTTTAATGCCATTTTTATCCCCAAAAGCTATAAAAAATTTTTGGATGGTCTATTACCCCTTTTCAGAGGAAACAAATTTGGAGTTTTTTTTTAAATTACTTACAAACAAGCACTTACAAAAAAAATAACCACTGAATCACACAGATGCTTCGCCTTGTTTATGAAACACATAATTTTATGAACCAAGGCAAAAAACTATTAAATAGGCCGGCAGATTTTGGTTACACAGCAATCAAGAATTCCGAGTTTTCTTGCTGCGCAGAGGGACTTTTACTGGAAATAGTCCCAATTTTCTTAAAAATACTCTTGAAGGATTTGAGCATTATGAAAACTTGTTTCTACAGAGAGAAACATAAAAGTCAAAGTCGAGTTTTGGGGCATAGCATTTGACGCGATTTGGCCCATATGTATACGTCTGTCTGTTTCTCTTACGGTCGTAGTAGATCTATATACTTTGTCCCTTTTTCTCTGTCTCTGTTTAGACTACCGCCTGCCTGCGCACACGTGAGAATGAAAATCGTGCGGCCGCGCTCGTTCACGAGCTTTTTTATCGTCGTACTTTCACTCCTTTTAAATCTGTCTGTGCCGCAAGTAGTGGAGGTGGTAGCAAATTCCCTCCCCCCATTCTCTTTGACTCGTACATAAATGTATATATTTTTTTAATGGACTACTCGGTGCGAGATGTTTTCCTCCGTTCTCTTATCTTCGTCGCGCAGACCGCGAGATCAAATGAGAATTGTGCATACAGCAACTCTGCGCAACTCTGCGCGGGCAATCTATACGCGGACTATTTTCTGCAATTGCTGCTGCGCACGTGTAGTATAATTAATATATCGTGTAACGTATAGAACCGTACAGTGCGTATATAATTGTTGCTCACGTGGCGATTTTTGGTGTATCGTAAATTGCCCGCGCACAGCTCCGATTCCGAGTATTACGTGTACAAAAGAGACTGCTCTGGTACAGCATCGAGCAGCAGCTTCGAGAAAATGTAGTGTCATTAACGAGCTATTCAAGTTGAGCTCGTTTGTTGCTAGAAAGAGGGAGCTTGCGGACGAAAGCTCTTAAAAGTGAAACAGCTGCCGGTGCTGCTGTTGCTTGCTTGGTAAAGATGAAGCGTTACACGTGACCATTTTTAGAGATGATATAGTTTTCCAATGGCACCCAAGCACTGTGAAAGGATATACAAAGTTTCGATGGTGAAAAAAAAAAGATAAATTGTAAAGGGTTACTTGGAGCATTTTCAAGAGCAATAATCGTGTATCTCTTGAGTAAGTTATAAGAGGACGGCAACTTTCTCTCTTCTGTCTCTTTACTCTCTGCGCCTTCGATGCAAGTTTTTTTTTAAAAGATACCATTCGAGAGGCAACATCGGAAAGGGAGAAAAAAAGCTTTTCTCATCAAGTGGCTATTTATTAAGTCATATTGCGTACATATAAACTGTTAATAGAAAAAAATTTACTTCCAAAGGTGCTACAAAAAGGGACAGAAAGTGAAATCTCGAGATGCGGCAACAGTTACAGGAGCAAGTGTGCGAGCTATTCGATTGCTTTTTTTCACCTAGATGAGTGACTTTTATGGAACAAAACGTATTTTCTGCTCTCGGTTAAATTATTGAACAGTTAAAAGTTACGATAAAAAATTATTGTATATAAGTATGTTTATAACTATAGATAGATATCTATATTTTAAATTTGAATACAAAATAAATTTTCGATTTTATGGTGAAACAATCATTCAAGCTAATTTAAAAAAAATATAAATGAAGTCTTTAAGGCGAGTAGGGGAATTAAACATTTTTACATAACTATTTATTGTATTATTCTCAAAAAGTGAAAACAATTTTTTTTATATATCAGCCTTTTTCAATAGCTTATTTGGAATTAATATTTTGATTATTAATGGACAGTATGTGGTTTCATTTGGTTCGATGGACAATTGACATAAGATCAATCTTAATTACTTACACATAAAATTTAATAGAATATTTTATTCATTTTTAATTATATTGAGCTCTATAGTACTGTAACTCTATATTTTACTGTTTTTGTGCATGTAAATGGTTGCAGTGCTTCCGAATGAGTGATTGAAAAAGGCTATTATGACTGTCACCTAAAAAAATTATTTTCATTTTTTGAACCTAATACTGTAAATGGTAATTTGAAAATATTTAAGCACCCTATTAGTCCTTAATTAAAGAAACGAAAATACGAAAAAATGAAAAAAAAAATTTTTTAATAAAAAAAAATTAATTAAAATATCAACGGGAAGATATAACGCCTGATGTTATATTACCACATTAATGCATCCACTATATTAGTTTACTCTATCATAGCTGCAGTTTCATAAATTCCAATTAATATTTAAATACCTTAATTAACATGTTTGAATATGTGACATATGAACTCGATTTAATTTTAAATCTAACTCTTGGCTAGTTTAATTTTTTTAAGTCAATTTAAAGATTAATTCCATAATTAAAATTTTGAATAGGGTCTTTTAGTTCCCGAGAATTACGATTCTAAATAATATTGAGACTATTGTATTTCACATTAGTCACGATTAAAATTGAAAATTGTAAACTTTGACCTCCAAAAGTTATGGCGTAATCGATTGAAATAGTGCCACATGCTCGTAAGAATTTCTTTCCATATCAGGGTTGTCAGGCAAAGAGAGGGGAGATAAGGTGAGATAAAGAGAGGAGAAGGAGATTTACGCCAAAGTTTCAAGCCGATTATTTCTCGTCTCACGCCGGCGATTACCCTTCTTAGTCTTTAAACTTTAATAATCTTCTTTTCAGTCACATTTTCTTATTTCGAATCTTTTCAATTTAATTGAAAACGGGTGAGTATCAGTTATTCATCGTGCTGCTTTAGAATCTTGATAATGTATATGATATTTAGTCAAATCACTCAATGCCAAGCCAAAAACTTTTTTCCTAACTCTCTTCATCTCTCTGTCTTATACGCGTTCATTGATAAAAGTTTTTCATCCTCTTATATTTCGCAGCTTATGTACCGCAGAGAATACACGGATTCCACAGCAGTGCGACGAACAAAATTTTTTCAATTATTCATTTTAATTCAATTATTCAACGCTCTGAATAGGTGATAATTGTCACTTCATGAATTTATTATTAAAATTGCAATAAAATTGAATACGACCTCTGGATGGTAGTTTTCTTTTTTTTCTTTAATGTTATCAAAATAATTAGTCAGGCAGCTCTCTCTGCTCATAAAAAAGGTAATGTTTCATAGCGAACCTTTGCCATGAACGGAATCATTTATCTCTAAATTTTCTCTGCAGCGTATACAACAAACGTCGGTCAAAGAATACTGCTGAGGAGAAAAGTAGAGAAAAAAAGAAAAGAGATTTGTGCCTGCCGTTGACCTAATTTTCTTTTTTCTTGGCACTGTAAGATTTTAGCTGAATGTTAAATCTTATGAGTTTAGCTAATTGTTAAAAATTTGCACCT